TTGATTTCAATGACACATCTTCCTCTTCAACAAAACCCTCCTGAGGGTTATTCTTATGATTTGCAAAATTGTGATCATACATATTTTTGAACCATGTAAGCAAATCTAATGTTTTCAGGGTGTCTCCATTCACCAACAATTTCAGTTCCAGATCCTATAAAAGGAGAAAGAAAGCATCTGTTGACAAAAATGCATGTTGATAACTGCATATCAGTATAACTAAAAAAGAAAATTGTGAACCCGAATCTAACTTAACTGCATCAAATATTTTCAGTGTTTTTTTTTACAGTTCACACAAACTCACTTTCTTGATTTGTGCTTTGTTGAAAGCTTCCTGTAGCAGACTGAAATTATTCAAGATGTCTATGTTCTCTTTTGCTGTGAACTTCACTTTCTTTATGTCGATAGATCCAGGATGAATGATGTCCATCAACTGACAAAAAGCAGCACCTGAAAACACACACCATTAAAGTGTTTCATGTGAAAAAGATATAAACTTCATACAAAGTTAGCAAGTAGCAGTTAGTGTCAAAAATACCTGAGCAGGTGTGCTCCACTTGACTGAAAGTGGCTTGCAGTGTGTCATTGAGCCAGTCAAACAGCTCACTGAGATTGTGTTTCTCATCTCCAGTCTCTACATTAACCACCATTTTTCCATAACCTTTGGAGATATTTTAATAAATTTAGTCTAAAAACGTATTCCTAACATTGATACACACATAAAGACAGTAATATGTATTAACTCCTTACTTTACTTTTTTTTTCTTCACAAAATGTCAGTATCTGTTCAACAGATGCTGACATTTTGTGAAAAAAGTAAAGTTTATAATGCATTTACATACTGCGCAATTCACATTAAGTGGTAATGCGGTTTTGTTCACTCAACCCAACAAAAAAATCCGTTTGAAAGGACAAAAAACGAACAAAATAAGTTTTCTTATAGCCAAAAGTCAGATGAAGACGATTACTTTAGTAGTCGAAAGTAAAACAAAATAAAAACATCCGCGTATGCGCACGCGGACCCCTCAATTTGCCGCGAATACTTAAAGGGAGGAAACACAACAGCTGCTGGGGCCAATGAAGCGCGAGCGGCCTCCCGCTCCCAGCAGCCATTACTCCACACGCCACAATGGGACACCGGGTGCAGGGAAACAAAGAGACAGAACTATTGTCTTACAAAAAAACACGTTTCTGTTTGTTGGCGAAACTTCATGCTAAAATGACTGCTGTATCTAAACACTTATCAATTTATTCAACATGACATAGGTTCACACACTTGGTTAAGGTAACTGGAAATTGCTTTAAATATTTTATTCTTAATATTTTCTTTGACGAGATGGTATAGTTTTCTCTTATGTTACATGTAAACATTTATAGTATTAAATACAAGGTGCACACTATAGAAATAATTTGGCGTTATTTTTTGTTTACAAAAATGGCATCATAAAGCGAATAAATGTATATATTAAACTCAGATGTGCTTACAGTGTTTTAATCTAACGTTATATGCATAAAAATGTGCACGACATTAATGTTCTTCATACTGAAGTGAAGCAACCACGACATGTTAATAACAACAAACACTCTTAGCGGTTCTTATTAAATGCAATGCAATGCAAACATTTGCAGCTCGCGCACACAGCCATTTCCGCATCTGTCGCGCGGCCAGCTTTTTACATTCACTGCGTAAAAGTTACACCGATAAAGAGAAATCCATTACATTTACCACTACTTAACACAACCACAACGTCGGTTCAGTGTTTTGGTAATCGGTCCTACCTGTAGCGATCCCGCGACTTCAGCGGATCTTCGGATTGGTCAATTTCACGCAGGGAAGTCGATCGCGTTGGTATCAAAAACGTTCTATTGCACGCGTTCAATGTCCTGTTTTGCAACGTGGAAACGCCATACATCAGTTTAGGAGAATTTGATTCAGCCGATGTGACTCGATTCTTTTGAATCGGTTGACCAAAAAGATTCGTTCACGGATATTTTATAAAGTTACACTAATTTCCCAGTAGGTGGCGACCAGTGCGTATATTTTTTGTGTGTTTTCAAGTGAGTCAAACGATTCGTTAAAAACACCGACTCATTCGCGACCGAAAGGAGTATGATTATCCTTTGTATTTGCATGTCTACAAACCTACTAAGAGATATTGAAACGTATTCTACGCGTTTTCCAAACACTTCAGTTCTTCCGCTCCCTTTATCTTGTTGTAAACGATACCAAATAACTCATATTGGCTTTTATACTCTTTTACGATACTTACTAATTCACATGACGAACTGAACGAATGGCATCGCTGGTCTGCAGATCTTTGTTCACTTCACTCACTGCTGCGCAGCCTGCGCCGAGTCTCGTTCAGACTCAAAACAACGAGTCGCAGCTCGCTTGTGATTGGGGCGTGTCAGTTCAGTTGGTCCAACCAATCAAATGCTTTTTACAACCCGGCCCGCATTCGAATGGTCACACATTCACAGAGAGAAAGACGGTTCAAACGACAAAGGGAACGAAAAAATAGACTGAATTCGGAATAGCATGGCCTTATATATGCGTAACATTTCCGCAATACCTTTTTGTGGCAGTAGGCTAGTAGCGAGAGTATATCCGAATTCAGCATTTTTATGCTGACCGGATGGATTACGCTGTTAATACGCCAGTTAAACATCTTTGATTTGTATTGTAAATGAATAGTTAAAACACAGACGACGAACCAGGTAGATAAAAAAAACATGTTCAGAATTACGTATTATTACCATACAATTGTTAAACCAGTTGACTTAGCCTACTGTATTTGCACAACTACAATACTGAATGCCACAATGACAAACTGGCGTCCATGAATGAACCGGAAGTAATTTCTTTTAGCGGGTTCGTTTGCACGACTGTTCAAAAAAGCTCCGTTTTTAACTAAATATGACTTTTAAAAGTTTGACCGAGACAAAACAATAGGCCCGTCGGAGATGCTAGCTTGCTACGTTATAAGCGAACTTGACAACGGTGATTCAAGTGCATACCACAAGATGTTTAATTGAATACTTAATTGAAGCAGTGTAACGTTACATGATAAACCATGTAGTATCCAGTAGCAATATTACAGAGATACCCAAAACTCCAAATTTGTTGTTTTCTAAACATTTCATCTTGTGAATAAAGCACTAATTCACTGCATAATATTGCACAGCTATCTGCTGTATAGGCTACAGATTGACTGCAGATTGTAGTAAACTGTAACATTACCTCCACAGTCTCTTTATATTGTTTTATTGTAAATAAATATTTTGTCATTGTCACTGGGAGATGTGTCAGGTGAATGTCTTTGTGGTGCAGCTTTTCATGTACATGATTGAGTGTGCCAGACTTGATTTTGAATATTCTCCCTTTCATCATTAAGATCCTTACTTGTTATAGTTTATACCAATAAAATGCCTGAAAACAGAGAAGCCTACTATAAGGTTTAAGTTTAATGAGGTCTCCTCACGTGAAAGAGGTGAAAGTTGGTGTTGCCGCTCAAGAAGGATATAAGAAAAATCCATGGTCACTACTTAGTGTTGTTTCAGTTGGAACCATGTTTTGCTTCATATTCCTAATTCCTATAATACATTTTTTTGACCAAATATTTCCCCAACTTAATCATCAGTGTGGTATTGATGGAGATTTAGTGAGTATGTCAATGGACAAATTTTTAAATGCAAAAAGTGGGTTTAGTCAGTGTTTAGGACTCCACTTTTTACAATTTTGAAATTAATACATTTATTTCAAATTTGTTGATGGCTCATTCCTGGGATTCAGGAATATTTTAAGTTTGATTGTGTAAACTACATATGATACGTTTTCTAAACACCCCATATCATAAGGCACACATCAAACCCCACAACAAATCATTTTTTCCACCTCAGGCAATAAAGACTAAATTAAATACCCATTGTTATTAAATAAACATTTACCTACTGTTTGTGTCCCTCAATTTTATAATAACTAAATGTAACGTATGATAATTTACACATTTTCCTGAGAATGAAGTTAAAAATAAACAACATTGTCGTTTTGCTGTTGATGTGGCTGCCATTTATGACATAGGATGCTTGTCAGTGGTTAACTGGACACATTACATAAAATATGAGTCTTCATGATTTTTGGTAAGTATATATTTATTAAAACAATTACTATTTATATATATTTTAATGTAAATTATTTATAAATGAAGTGTAAAAACTCAACCGTCACAAGTTTTCAACCCTTTTTTTTGTTGCCCAAAATGGCCACTGCTCCTCGTGTCATGTAGGAGAGTAGACTATATATGGCAGCAGTGAAATAAGAACATTGTATATAGTTATGGATTAAAATAAAAATTAGAAAAATCATTTTCCATCTTTATTTTATGTAATGGGGTTGAGATGTTAAGCTTGACAGTACCTTCCATGACTAAAATATGCCCCGGAAATATGAATAAAAAGTAGGATACTTCTTCCCATCTTCTGCACCACTGTTAAAGAGACCTGAATGATGTCATTTCTGATATATATGGGTGAAGTATAAATTATTATGGGTGGCGAATAATTGGCGGACGGGGTTGAGTTGAGACTGAGCGACATGACTTTTTTTTTAAATAAAATTTCTTTCTTTTTTTTTAATAAAGTAAATAAATACGATACTGTCAAAAAAATCATAGATACTGTGCACATTTTGTTAAATATTTTTTTAAGTACAAATTCAGTGAAGTCCTTCAGGGACATGACAAAATGCTAGGAGTAAGCTAGAAATTTAAAGTAAATTAAATACATTCTTTATGCTAAAAATGATTTAAATGCAATAATTATTTTTATTTATCATAATGGACATACCAAATTATTGCGAAAAGTTTTTAACATTTAATTTTGGTGAACCACCACTTTAAAAAAAGACTGGGGGGTGGAAATATTACCGAATCCCAGGAATGCCCCAGACATGATTGCAAGTCATAACCACATCATTAAAATAAAGCACTATAGACAAAACACAATTTTGGAGTCTGTCTTTATTGGTTTTGTTTAGGATACTAACATTTATTGGTTACTTTTTATGTTTTATACCATAAGTCCCAAAAGAAAAATAAATTGTATACAAAAACTATCCGAAAAAAGTATAAAAAATAAAAGTAAATATAAATTGACTGTATAAAAGGACTGTTAATGTTCAAAAGTACAGATTAACATTGTTACCAAATAAACAAGTAAAAAGACAGCGTTATATATCACATTTAAAGATCTACTAAGCAAAATATTAGAGCTATGATATCACAATTGTGTTTAAGCTACAACAACAACAACAAAACTTAAAGAAAATACAATGACAGTAAGCTATTTGTGCTGTTTTACATACATTTTTGCCTGTCAAGATTTTACAGAACAAATGAATGTAATTTACAAGCAATATCTAAACACTGAGTTCCATGACTTATGAAGTATTAAAGGTTACTTTCCACTTCAAGCTCTGTCTTTGGACAGTAGTTTTCTTTAAGCATATAATTAGACATATAAAACAGTTTGTGTTACAGCATTAGGTCTAATAAACAAAAGCAGAAATCTTCTTCTTAACCCTCGTATGGCAGGATGTGTCTGTTCTCTTCAAAAGGCACCACACATTAAGTGTTTTAGAAAGATGAGGCATCGTTTTTTTAAGAATCAGAGTGCTACAATAATACAATGCCTGATACAATGTGTTTGTTATTGTTGGTATCAACAGTCAGTATAAAAACAACAGTTTTAAGTCAAATGAAAGCATCTATGCGAGATAAACCCATACAGAGCTAACATTTTACATCTACACCAGTGCCTCATCTTAGAGGTCAATCTAAAAAAACAAGGTATAATATGGAAACTCTAAAAATGTGTTTAAATGAGTTAAAGTTTGTAAACATTATTTTAAGGTTAAAATACAGTACACTGATCTCTATCTCGAGCAACAACTTGACACTACTTACTTGTCAAGAAAACAACAGTAAAATGTTCAGCAGGCTAATGCCCTTGAGTTCTGCTTATAAAAACACCCTCCGGTTATACTGCTATTGTGCAATGTTACAAAGGGAATGTAGGCCATATAAAACACGAATGGGGAATCAAATCTTTGAATGCATTTGTAAGGGCTCACAGCTTGGTGTTCAAGTTTGCATTGATAAGTTTGCATCAAGTATTTTTCTCACACCAACAATACCACGGAAATCACATGCAAGTGTATTGAATCTATGGCATGATAATACAACTGCACATTTGTGGATTTCTTAGCAAAATAAGATTAGTACGATAAGGTAAAATGTTTTGTTCAATTAAAAAAGTTTGAGATTGTAAGGCATTTGTGTATTATTATTTTTTCCATGAGAAGAAATGCTAACTGCATATTAAGACAAACACTGGCAGTCTTAAAGACTTTGACAGGCACATCAATTTCAAAAACATCTAGAACAAAAGCTAACTGTGTTTTTACTAAGCGACTGTCACAGCACAGTGTCTACCTTGAGTTTGGTCTGATGGTCAAGGGCAAGGCTAACCTCATCCTCAAGTGAGCCCAACTTCTCGGCTTATCTTTCCAAATCTGAGATTGTCTTGTAAAATCGGAGACTAGCTGCTTTCTAAGAGCTCCTTATTGAGGACATTTGGTTTTGTACTTTGTTATTGTGTTTGTTGTGTGACTTTGGACTAACTGAACATGGACTACATGTGTTATTCACATGCAAAGTAGTCCTTCAGAGGGGCGAACAGATGGCGGATTACAGGAACACTCCAAGACCGTCCCAGCAACTTCTGTCTGGCGCCACGGCCCATGTTAGAAACATCCGTGTAGTGGACAGGAAAGCCAAAAATCCTGACAAGAGAAAGATACATTTTTGGGTTAAAACATGATGTCAATTTTTTGTCCAGATCTATTCATTTATAAAAATTACTAGGGCTGTCAGTTAAATACGTTATTAACGGCACGCGCTCATAATGGAAGAGGCAGTCGCGGTGCGACACGCTAGTTTTTTCCAAGCACGTCCGCGCTGCATCGAGATAAAAACATCTCAACTTTTCAGAATGCCGCAAGCGCACCATTAGCACACAGTAGGTCACGTGACAAGAACCAACCGGAGCGCAACCGCCCTAGCGCTTTGAAAAAAGGAGAATGCGGCGCGTTCAGCGTTTTCTATGCGTTTTAGGCGCTATATGTGAATCCGGCCTAAGGCTTTGTTTTTAGAATAGGGTCATTAGTTTGGCTGTAATGCTCAGTCACTTGCAAAATAGTAAAACCAACATGAAAACGAATCCTGATAAAATCGTGAATCATTGATATGAATGATAAAATATTTCTGCTATACTGCCCAACTCTACTAAGAATTTGACATTTAATATTTTTGATATTAACTGGCTGTTGTGAACACACCTCTCGAGCTCTGTGCACCACAGGATGTCCTCTTTGCCATTCATCATGACGACAGGGAAGTGTTGGTCTTTGCCTTGTTTGATGGAGTTGGACCGTGTTGTGATGGTACGCACCTTACCAAACTAAAGACAAAAAGAGTTAAGAGACTATGCTTAACACAACCTGCTCAAGGTCATGAATACAGTAAATCAATAAGGGCTCACAGGTTTACATTTTGACCAGAGCCTTTCAAAAATGGAAAATAATTTACCTTGGCAACACGGCCATGTTCCAAACAGTCCTGAAGTTCTAACTTATCCATCCCAGTGGCGCACAGAGGCCTGAAGGAAAGCACCTCCATTTCAAAGTTGCATACAGTACATACATCGCTTAAAATGCTGACTAAAAAGGTTTAGAGATGTTATCTAGAGACTATTTCGAGAAAGAGAAAGACAAAGGTGGGGTAGATAAGATGACAAATACCTCTTCATTCCTGGCAGGTTTCCCCAGAAATAACGTGCCCTGTGAGCAGCTGATACCTCGATAGCGTCAATCATCACTGGATTGCACTAGAGATACACACAAACAAATTGAAATGAGAAACTACCAGATCAATCCATCTCCAGCAACAACAGCCATGAAGAAACTCAAACCTCCAGGAATCGTGAGATGTCTCTCTTATCATTGACGCTCATGGCAACCACATTCTCAAACATCCAGAAGAAAGGTCGGTCTTCCCCTTCCTTTGGTTTTGCTTCACTCAAAAGGCGATAAAACTCGAAAAACAGACGCCCGGTCCCCTCTAAACACAATATAATAAAGAAAACATTTTAAAAAATAGTCTTAAATATTTATTATAGCCCGCTTTAACACCATCAGGCCAAACGCTTCTAAGGTAAGGAATGGTTATATATACGCTTATATTTCCACTGTTGCAAGTCAGGATTGGTCTGTTCTGTTGTCCGAATACAGTTTCTCTGTACCAGGCTAAGCATGCTATTTCTATTGTTCTATCACAATAGAAATATCTGGTCATTCTCCATAACGTGGTTGCTATTTAGATCTCAAACCTCTGTAAACTCTTGCGCATTTATATTACATTTCAAAGAGCAGTCATTTTCAGCCCCACAGTGAAAAATGAAACCATATCCTTACCGGCTGGGCACAATTTAACAGTTTCTGCAACAAGAATGGTTTGGCCCGATGGTGGAAAAGCGGCTTATGTTTGTCTTAGACAGTTTTTTCATTCATCGTCACCAGGCTAATATTATGTGCGATGGCTTAGAAAATAATAGCACAACTGCACTTAACCGGCTAGATAATTTGAGATATTATTCATGTCCGTACTGCAACCCTACAAAGGATATGAATTCATGTCCATAGCACAAAACATGATGACTTTAACATTAAATACTTATTAATAAAAACACAATGCCATAGATTGGATTGTAAACACACCACAAAAATAATTCAGCATGTGACATGACATAGCATGTTATCATAAAAAATTGTAGAATCTACAAGGGGTTTGTGTGGGAGGATGAAAGATTACCTTAATAATATTCATAAGTAATAATGTCTTACCGTACAGGCCTTTCCTTGCAGGGTTGACAATTGAAAGGTCATTACAGGGACTTCCACCAATCACCAAGTCAAAGGGCCCCCATTCAGCAATCTGAGCAACAGAACAGCACCATCTAGTGTTATCACTGCTACACTGCACATTCAACTCAGGAACTCTGAAGATCCATTAGTTTGTTTCCAGATGTTTTATTATACAGTGCAACAGCGCAACTGCAATTTTTCAGTTTTTCATCCATATGCAGTTTTCCCATAAGGATTTTAAAAAAGCCTTTGTTAAATTTATAAGCCATGAACCAAACCAAACAGTTACAAGATGAATCACATTACAAAACGTTGATTTACTGTAAAGCAAAAACGTATAAAGATAGAGGTATAAAATCGTGTACTTAATGATGGAAACAAATACAATGCTATATATATATATATATTTATTATTATTATTATTTTTATTTTTTTTGCAGAAACATTTTTAAACAGTTAATAAGTTATCATTAAAAAACAATCCCCCATGGAGAAAATGAATGGGATTTTGAACATGACATTTGCACTCTAATCCCAGTTAACAAGATATTTTCTAAGAATTTTTTGCTGAACATTCAAAACATTTAAATGCAACCGGTCACTGGGATCATAAATGCCATTTACTGTAATTGTGCATTCCAGATGTTCTGCTAAAGGAAACTGTGGGAATGGCCTGTGTACGTCTTTACCCTTGGCATATCTGCATGTGCCAGTGCGAGAGCATATCTGCAGCTGGACTCTTTTCAGGCTTTCTCATTCTTTTAGTGTTTCATAAATAACCCAACCCAGGGCCCCAAAACCCCCCTCCTATATATCCCTTCTCTCTTTTCTTCTGCGACAAGAGCCCTTTCATGCATCTCTCTCTGCGATCCCGCCCAATCCAGCCTCGCAACAACAATGGGTGAGTGAATGAGTGATTGAATGGAAGGGTGAGGGGGTGAATGGATGAATTTAGGAGAGGGGATTTAGGAAGGGAGAAGGCGCCTTTGTGTTCCGTCACTAAGGCTTAAGACAACTTGCTCTCTGTGTGTGCCTGAGCATTTGAATGTGAGGTGGAGAGATAATAGAAGCCAAACAGAAACTTGGAGGAGCGACGACAAAGACCAGACTTTAAAGAAAGCCATTAGCCTTATCAAGTGATGTTGAAACAAGCAACACGCGACTAAACAAATAACCTTGGACCAGGTGCGTGTAGCCTGTGTGGTGACGGCGCCAATCGGTCTATACTCATTCAGTGTCAAATGAAACAGCTAAAGGTCAGGGTTTCATGACTAGGTTACAGTTTTTTTTATTCGCTTTGGTACTATTTTCACAAGTAAGGTGTACATTTTCAAAACTCTTAGTGCTAATATCACAACAGATCATCAAAAGTGCACTTTTTTCAAACATTTCATCATGTTTTCAACTGTGTTAGTACAATTCACACAATCACAAAGTATCCTTTTCACAACACAAAATAAGTGTTTCATCTACATTATTGTTTCATTCACAGTAACTGCCTTTCATAAAGCTCTTACTATCAAACTTTTGATTTGCATCTCTTTTTGTTGAGTTTAATACTTTTGTCTATTATTTAATCCAACAGATCTTAATGGTTAATCAATTAATCATTTGGTAAACCTATAGATTTTCATTTCAGCAATATACAGTATATGGATTTTGAGAACTACAGAAATAAAATGTGTGTTTGTATGAATATTTAAATTACATGTAACCAGTAACCACACATGATGAATACTCGTTATAGCTATTTTTTTTCACAATTTTTTTCACAGTCTGACCACAATTGGCCACTATGTACTGTAATGTGTGCACTAAATGTTATGTTTTGTTCTTCTTTAGTTACATTTCATTATAGAAAGTATACCTATATTACAATTATATCTGAAAAATAAAAACTATAATTTGCCTAAATGATTTTAAAGGATGTCTTCATTGATCCTTCATTTGTAGGCCTACATATATGATGGATATTTGGAAATTATAGATTATGTAAATGTTGGGTACTGTAAGTGTATTGCCTAATGTTACAGTAAAACTGTGTAATCTGTCTTTTATAGTACTGTAGCATATTCATTTCAGCACTTCTAAGACCGATTTGAAACATGTATCTTGCATTGTTTGCTGTTGGATGAACTGATTGTTAAAAGTACTAAACTGAAAGAAGATCATATTGTTGTGTTTCCGTGATTAAACCAAATGTTCTCATTACATATTACAATAATCTTGTGTTTGAAATAATTATTATGTGGACTGAAAACATGTGCAACTGACTGAAAGCATTACATCAGGTTTTGAAAGAATGACTAGCTGCGTTACAAGTGTGATCAGTTTGGATTTTTGTACTAAGAGTTTTGAAAATGTACACCTTACTTGTGAAAATAGTACCAAAGCGAATAAAAAAAACTGTAATAAACAACCATAATATACCAAAACAATAATTAAATCATCTACAGTGAAAACATGAAATATAGCAGGCAGAAACAGATAACTGTCAACTCACATTTTTTCTGGTGATGTTGCGAACGTCGTGCACATACTGGATTTTTCCTTCATGCCGGACAACTCCCACTGAAATTGAGTCCTCACATACTTCTGATGCAATGTACAAATCAACATTGAAGCCCAAGTCCCGAAGCACCAGATAACCTGCAAATTAAGATTAATGATTATGATTATTTAAATGTAAAGTCTCTTACTATAAATGTTTTAGTGTCCATAGTTCTGGCCACACAATACAACTTTATGTACAGACAGACAGACAGACAGACAGAGAGATAGATAGATAGATAGATAGATAGATAGATAGATAGATAGATAGATAGATAGATAGATAGATAGATAGATAGATAGATAGATAGATAGATAGATAGATAGATAGATAGATAGATAGATAGATAGATAGATAGATAGATAAATAGATAGACAAAACGAGATTAAAAATAAGACAAAACAAGAATTAAAATAAACTAAAACATTTAAAACTCAAGATATATTTATTTTAATTCACCCCTCCTAATGTTAAAAGCACTATTTTTAGACATGAAAAAGTCTTTTTCAGAAAAAGAAAATATTTTATCAGGTAGTCACATATTGTACAAATTATTGACATCTGTGAATCACTGATAGTGTAAATTTCCACAGAATATAGAAGAGACATCCTATTGACCTGTAGCAATGCCATCAAACAGTGAAAGGACTCTGATTGGACGTCTCTGCTCGGCTGGGACCGCAGGGTAACTTTTTGGACTTTCCTGGAAGAAAATAAAATAATTACGTCGTATAGTTGAACAGCTTTGCAAACAGAGAATTTCCCTGTCTGTAAAAGTTAACGTGAGACTCACAAACTCCTGTCCATTGTCATTGACAAAGAACTCTTGTAGTTTCAGGCTCCAGTCGTGGCGTTTCTTTAACACACCGTACTGTTGCAGCGGTTGACACATGTAGCAGCGCCATGGGTCCAGATCACGGGCACTGTTGGCCGCTCCAGCTCCCACTAATATATCCAGACAGTCCACACAGAAACACCTGCGGGCAAAGACACTGATCAAAGCCAGCCTTTAAAAGGGCAAATGAAACCGACAGTGTTAAAGGTTAAAGGTGAAGTGTACCTTTTTCTAGTTTAATGTGTAAGCCATTTGTAGGTTGACCTGTGGCACTTTTAAAACGATGCATTTAGTTTGAGTGACCTGACATGAATTTGAAGAGCCAAATTTAAAATAAATAAATAAATTGTATTAAAAAATGCAAAAATACAACACAAAGTACAGCACCCCACCTTTAGAGAGTAATTATGAATATAACTAGATTATGAGTAAAAACTACACAAAATAATGTTTTAATTCTTATATTTGACATTAATTCCCATGTTTTCTTTAAAATTTACTTTTTCATTGTCAAGTGATTTTAATTCAACTTGGGTTGTGATGAAGTCTACTGAATACCCTGGTGAAAAATAAATATACCAAAATGTTGTTATTATTATTATTATTTGGGGTGTTACGATAAATGTATTCGTATTGAACCGTTCGGTACGAGGCTTTCGGTTCGGTTTTCGTTACACATTGTTAAAACGGTTCGTTGGACCATTTTTCCTGCCGACCAAATTTCCATTATTTCAAATTCCAAGAATGGAATGAAAAGCGAGATTGAGGGAGAGATTGCGGGAAGAAAATGAGTTTCGTACCTGCAGCAGTTGGCGTTTCCACAGAGCAGCACCTCTCTGCCGCCACAGCACACGGTGCAGTACGACTGGTAGCCATCGTCATCATACATGTAGGAGATCTCTAAATAAACATCCTGACACATTCACAAATAAAAACATGTAAATAACTTAAATAGCTAAATCTTCTACAAACAGTCTCTGTTTGAAGCAATGTATCGTGTTGCTGCAAATAGAGTGTAATAGGATAATGCAGCGATGATGGAAATGATCCATGGCACTTCCTTTGTCCCCCTAAGGTAATCGATAGATACAACACTGGTGTCCAGGTTTTAGGATCGAGTGCTGTTGTTTGACACTTTTATGAGCAATCATGTCAGCACGTGTTGGAGAACCATGTTCCCAGACTCTCGAGTTGTGTTGTGTTCTGTTTTGAGAATCTGGAGAACAAGATCAACTCTTACCTTGCATGTCAGGCAAAGGCCTCCTTCAAACAGCGGGTGGAAGGTCGCCACTCTCATCTTTCCACAAGAGAGGCAGAACTCTGAAACAGGCAAGCAAACGCATTGAGGTGGCTGAGTCAATATACCAAAGTAACTTATTCTTGGAAGCATCCGTAAGAATGGGCTGAAAATTATTAACCAATGAGAAGCATACTCTGCATTACTCTGCATTTCTCCACCTCTCTAGTTTGCTTCCTTTATCTAGTTGTCCTACTAAACCTGGTATTGTATAATAATAATTTATTACATTTACATAGTGCTTTTTCAGGGTACTCAAAGCGCTTTACATGGAAGGGGGAATCTCCTCAACCACCACCAATGTGCAGCATCCTCCTGGATGATGCGACGGCAGCCATATTGTGGCACCACACATGAACTTACCGGTGGAGAGGAGACAGTAACGAAGTCAATCAGTGAATATGGGGATGATTAGGAGGCCATGATGGGCAGAGGCCAAGGGGAAAATTTGGTCAGGACACTGGGTTTACACCCCTACTCTTTTATCGTGGGATTTTTAGTGACCACGGGAGTCAAGACCTCGGTTCAACGTCTCATTCGAAGGATGGTGCTTTTTGACAGTAAAGTGTTCCAGTGACTACACTGGGGCGTTAGGTACACGGGGACGTGTATATCACAAATATTGTTGGCTTTCTTATAAACTGCATTTTGACCTCTTTTGTAAGTCGCTTTGGATAAAAGCATCTGCTAAATGCATAAATTTATACTGTATCCAATAGTTTGCCATCGCTTTCCCGCAAATGTATGTTTATAAATATAACTGTGATAAAGTATATATAGTATACTTCATCAAAGTTATATTTATAAACATACATTTGTGGGAAAGCAAATTATAACTATATATTTTCCAGCTTTCACTGCAAATTAAAAACCTAGTGAATTGTTTACAAATAATACTTCTTTTCATTTAATGACTAAGATGGCTGATTATTAAAATGGTATACTAATTTGTCACACACACAAAAAAAAAAAAAAACATTATACCTTAAAAACTAAAATCTGTCATTTAAAAATTTCATTTGCAAATGAAATTAGGCATCACAACATTACAATGTGCAGTATGAAAAATTCATATTTGGATATTAATTAGCTAAAAATTAGATTTCAGTGTTATTAAATGTTCTGTTTTTTTTAACTTTAAGTGAGTGAAAGATGACGGCAAAGGAAATCTAAATGTAAAAATAGAGGAAATCAATGTGGTACTGATGTATTGTGCATCCATAAGAAAAATATAAATATTTTTTATTGGCACATGCATAAATACATTTGCTAAAAATAAAATTAATTTTATCTAAGGCCGTGGCTCCAATGCTGTTAGGGGCTGTTCACACACAACAGAGCATTTGACAGCACTTCTTTTCCATTGTTTCTATGTAAACATGCACTTTTGCAGTGCCTTTGAACATGATATGGCGTTGTAAAAAGTTAAATGTTGTTTAACTTATAAAAAAAATGCATCTGTAGACCTGGCTTTTTTAAAGAAAAAAATGTGTTCTTTGTTAATGGATTCTTATGTGTTTTAACAGGTGATTGCAGGGCTTGTAATAGGTCGCAACTCTACACACCTTCTATACTTCTGTGATTCTTCAAAACTTCATGGACCATTTGTTCTGAAAAGCAGATGAAATGGCAGTCATGAGCAACAAGCTGGAAATTCAAACACATTGTAAGAGTTAAAGCTCAATGATGTCTTGTTCACATCAAGTCCAATGCAACTAAATTGCACAAAAGTATAAAATAGCAAAGTTTTGTTACAAAACCTATGCACACAATACTATATTTTAATTATTTATATGCCTGAATCAGTTGTTCAGAATTTCGATGGGAAAAAAAAGATACATTTTGAAAAGAATAACAAAATGTTGATATTTTATACTGTGTGTAAAGGAGCTTGTCTTGTCACACAAGATTTACAATCATTTGGCAATTTAGACAACAATTAGTATCTGTATCATTTTAAGGGTTCAAACCCATATGGTTTGATTACCTAGGCCTTGTTTAGACTGTCAGTGAAATGTGACCCAAATCCGATTTTTTTGCTCATATGTGACACAGATCGAGGGTGTTCTATGACCGTGTAAACAGGAATAAAATGCATGCATTCGGATATTTTGCAATCGGTTTCAAGCCTTGTTCATATGTAAAGATAAATCAGATATAAATCAGATATGTTTAGTTTGAATGTCATGTAAACAGGCAGATCGGATTTTCGAAAGTATTAGGATCTTCGCGGTTTAATGACCTGATACGCATCTGCAAAAGGACAGATAGCTCGACAAAACTTTGTCTCGACGTAGGAGAGGAATGTGGAAAAACGGATTGCTCATCCTTAAATTTCGGATCCACTGCTCCTCGTTAAGCCAATATTTAAACGCATTATATTATGATCGGTCCCACCAGTCTTGAGATCTCTCTCGCACACAATTTCTGGAGCATATTCGCAGGCTGCAATGATGGCACTTTTCGTCCTCTTCGCCTCAAATTCATGGTGATGATTGGCAAAGTTGGCATTTATCGCAAAGCTAGCATCAAGCATATTTCGTGTCGTCCATCTACCCCATTTAAGCATGCGCAATGTTTCAGATGTATGTCAAGTGTAAACACATGAATCGGATATGGGTCAAAATTGAAAGAATGTGTAAACGGACGGTCAGAAAAATCGGATAAAGGCAACAAATCAGAATTGGGCATAAAGACCTGCAGTGCAAACGAGGCCCTAGACTTAAACAGGAATATTTCAGTGTTCTGAAGAGACTTGTGGGGTGAGTAAATGATGACAGAACATCCCATTCGGAGTGCAACAATCGATTGTCACCCATGAACATGAATAATTTCCATTGTGTAAGCTCTAACCTCTACTGTAGACGTCCTCAGTGCCAGGTTTGGCCTTACAGAGGCTCAGTCGAGCTTTTTTAGCAGAGGGGGGGAATTCCGGAGGGCTGGAGTCCTGCGGCACTGAACTCTCGGAGGCCATGGGAAACACACAATACTCAGCTGGAATAGACACAAGTGCACTCATTTTACTTACTGTTACAATAAACATGCTCACACATGTACTGTCAATATCTACATTTATATTTCATAGATCACACCCTTAGATAATGAAGCAACTTGCAACTTGTGAGATCTACTTTAACAGCTAGTTTGTAATTATCAAGAATGATCACATCACTACAGCGTTTATTCATAAAATAAATAAAGAATCTTTTGTTAACAATGACTTTTAAACTGTTAATTTCTGCCAGAAAAAAACCAAAACAAAAGTGAATATAATAACTAATATATTATTTAAATGAGTGCAAACTATAGATTATTTAATTATTTGTGCTGATTCAAATATAAAATATTAAAAACATTTATTAATTATCATAAATAATTAATCAGTTAGTGTGTCTATACTGGTTAATTGTAATTACTTCATCACAATTTAGACAAAAACATTGAGAAATTGACCAAGAGAAATACAGCCATTAACATGCAAAAAGGAAGCTGTTGGATTATACATCCGTAATCGCTGTGGGTAAAAAGCCAGCAGTCTACAAATCGTTAAGTAATTAGATAGGCTATTTCCTCTTTCTGATCCCACTGTAAGACCACACTACCAGAGAGTTCTGCTTGCTCATCTCTGCAGTGGTACCCTTAGGTTTAACAGCCCAGTATCGACTATATGAAAACACAATGGAACAATTAAAAAAATGATTGATGTGTTAGACATGTTTTAAACAGAAGGTTTAAGAAATATACTAAAGGACCTGATACACATGTTTAAATGAGAGGAGACCAGACACACTAAACCTTGCAAACAAATGACTGCACCAGCTCAACTTATGTTTTGGATCTCTGACAGGGACTGCAAGACATTTTTAACCGCACATATAAATATGCCTGGGAAACTCACTGAACTAATCTATTACACAGTTTTTCCCAGATGAAAAGGAAAGATAAATAAAGTACTTCAAAAAGTTGACAGCTAAAGCTTCAATTCTGATAACACTGAAACCCTTTGAAACCATAGCACAGCCCACCATAAGTTGCTCTCCTGAAAACCTAAGGTATTGTGACATTTAAATATTATGGATAAGCTCTAACGAATCCAGAACAGAGGTCTATGATCTGATATACTGTGAGAGTGTAACCTGCCATTACCTGACTGAGCCCTGATGCCTGAGGGCCCTGCAACTTGGTTTTTAAGCAATACCACAAATACTTAACAGCCACAGATTTCCACAAAGTTTGAACACCCTTTGTTCACAAAGTTCCACACATTTAATTTTATTTGTTTAATAATTTTGCTTTAATAATTTAATTGCACGTTTAACTGCCAATAAAGGTGTAGAAGTCTCAGCTTTATTTTCCACATTTTCCACAGAATAAGGGCAGAAAATGTGAAGGAGAAAAAAATACAGAAATTATAACTATATTAATTTATTAGTATTTTTTAAAGCAGTTAATATATAATAATATAATATAACTAATACAAATAATCAAGTCGTTTTGTCCTCAAAACATTATAAGCATTTTTTCTTTAGTAAATCTCAAAATAAATATCCTTTTTTTGATATTGTAGATATATTCTGCTATGTGTGTGGTAACAAAAGAAAAAGATTGTTTGTTAAGCCGCCGCCTTGGAACTCAACTACAGTGTGAGACTACAAATTAATTCATAAAATTCCCTTGTAATAACAGCTTTGAGAAAAAACTTGACCAACAAGTTACATTACTTTCCTGTTGCTAACATTTTCTATGACTTGATAAGATGGCAATGCTTGAACGTCTGCCAGTAGAAACTGCTCAGTCTGAAGGGCTTTCTGTAGAAACTGCTCTAACAGTTTTAAGTGTGGTGTTAAGAGTTTGTCTTTTCATGTCTCGTGGTGATTAAAGTTACCCATTTATTTTAATATTTTGTTCAGTTTGGTTGCTGTAAAGGGAGTATTTTTAAGTTATTTTGAGTTAATTTTGTCAACTATTTTTACATTTAGCCTTAGTCCTGTGTAAAATATACATTTTAGTTTCCATAATTTTTAGTCAATCTTGTCCTGTTTTTGTTTAGTCTGTGTTTACGCGTTGATCCCTGTGTGTTTCAGCATAGAGATGCACGGTTGGTGGTTACAGCCACGTACTCTGCGGATAAACCGCAAATCGGGCAGAAGAAAACATGAAGAAAAAATATTTTAATGAAATTCGGGCGGGTGGCGGGCGGTAGAACCGTTCAAATGAAAAATATATATATACATTGTTACATGTAAGTATTGTTTCCTGACTATACCTACATCGAAAAAAAAAATCAAGCACACTTTGAAATAGTCACATTTTCATCAGGCAGCTAGTCGAGTCTATGCAGAGACTGCTTGTAATTATCAGAGATGGCAATGCCGGCGAAGGAGGCACGAGACAATCTCAAAAGAAGAGAATTAAATACAAAGGAAATAGAAGGTCAGAAAAGTGTTGCCTGGAATAAGTTTTAAAGAGTGGTAAATCAGGATGACACCAGTGCAGGCTATGTAATTTGCAAAACCTGCGAAGCAGTTTATGTTCATGACAGGTACGTCTAATATGCTGCATCACAAGTGTGCTGCTAAACCTCAAACCTCCACGAACACCTTGCCAAGTTTCGTCCATTAATTTAGGCTATTAATTTATTTTTGTCCCTGTGCGCTGATCTGAGACGGAGTTCACTGCTGATATTCTGAGAGCTTTTTAGTTCTTGTGGCTGTCATCACCCTGAGATGGGTGACACAGAGTTGGAGGAAGTTGCTCTCCGGGAGATGGTGTCCTCAACTTTCTCTCCCCCTGAGGAGGGCCTGATAGAGAATCTTTGTTCATTTTCTGTTCTGCTGCTGGCTCCCTGGAGTCCAGTGGTTCCCACATTTTCAATAGAGCAATTTCTTCCATCTCTGGGGGTGCGTTCCATTCGACAGGGTCCCTACGCAGTGTTCACTGCTCCCTACTCCCTGAACACTAGGGTTGGTTATCGAGAATCGAGTATCGATTGGAACCGGGACTAACTTTTCGTTTTTCCCGGAATCGTTCAAAAGTTAAAATTTCGATTCCTAGTTTCGATATTCACAGTCCGCCGAGCGGAAGAAGAAACCACTGAACAACACCAACGAAGAAGCGTCTACCGGAAGTGTTGGCATAACCGCGCGAGTCGAACATTAAACGAAATCTCAGCAAAATGCAAAATTTGTGACAGAAGGAGTATTTGTGACAGGAGTATTTCCTTCAGAAAGGATTATTTCCTTCAGAAAGACCGTTGGTTAGCAAGGTTAGCTAAACTTTTTTGACCCTGCCTCTTAAAAGAATCGGAATCGAGAATCGTTAGGAACCGGAATCGAAACAAGGAATCGGAATCAGAATCGTTCAAATTCAAACGATACCCAACCCTACTGAACACGGTATATCAGTTGAAGTGGACTTCACTGACTTCCTGTGAAGTGATGCATCGATGTTCCCTTATTCTCTATGCCGTGTGCAGTGCCCTTCGAACTGAACATGTTCGTTCCCTTCGAATTGGAATCTCACTTAAGATGGCGAAATACCCTGTGAAGTCCACTTCGCAGTCCACTTAAGGAGATTCCTTAAGGGTGCTAGGAGGCTAAATCTGCCTCATAATCAACACCCTGTACCCTCTTGGGACTTAACTCTAGTGCTCAGAGCACCCCAGAGGCCCCCTTTGAGCCCTTAAATACAACAGAGTTAAATATCTTGTCTATGAAGACAGCTCTCCTGTTGGCTCTGGCCTCTTTCAAGAGGTATGGGGATCTGCAGGCATTTTCGGTCGACGAATCGTGCCTGGTGTTCGGACCTGGTATTTCTCACGTTGTTCAGATATGTGCCCAAGGTTCCTACTATTCCGTTTGTAGATCAGGTAGTGAAACTGCAAGTGCTGCCCCCAGAGGAGGCAGACCCAGCCCTAGCTTTTCTCTGTCTTGTACCCGCTCTACGTTGTTACGTGGACAGAACGCAAACCTTTAGGACCTCAGAGCAGCTCTTCGTCTGTTACGGAGGCCAGCAGAAGGGGAAGGCTGTCTCCAAGCAGAGGTTAACCCCTACTGGCTAGTGGATGCTATCGTTCGGGCTTATGAGTCCCAGGCCGTACATTGCCCACCAAGGTTGACGGCACACTCCACTAGGAGTGTTGCCTCCTCCTGGGTGCTGGTGCAAGGCGCCTCACTGGCAGACATCTGTAGACCTGCGGGCTGGGCGACACCTAACACGTTCGCTAAATTTATAGCTTATGTGTTAAACCTGTTTCTTCCCGTGTACCTGCTACAGCCAGTAGTGCGAGGAATTAGGTCATGTCGTCTTGCTCCGCCATTCCCACCCTATAGGCCGGATACGTGTGCTTTTTGCTCTATTGGTTCCCCAACAAACAGTTGACCTTGTGAGTTCCTCCATCACCCCTCTGGCACAAGGCGAGGCAGATTGCTATTATCTCTCGTAAGAGTTGGTATTATAGTGGGTGGGCTTAACAGTGGTCCTTACGGTGACACATTTCTTTCACAATCCAGCTACCCTCTGGGTTAGCACCGTGTCTTCCTCTCAACAGACCAGTTCTGTCATCCCAGGTGAGTACGCTCCCACCCCTCGGGCTGGGACTACCTCAGGGGCTGCCATATGTTTCACTACCCCACGGGTTAGTACATATGTGCATTCCAGTGCCTCCCTTTCGGGCAGACAGGGGCTCCGCAGTGTTTCCTCCTACAGGTGGGCACACTTCCCCAGTGTTATCCAAATCCACTGAGCGGGTCTTATGAAACAGCAGTGTGATTCTTCCTAGCTAGCTCCCGCCATAAAGAAAACTAAGAAACTGCTTTGGCAGGAAGCTAAGCTGGGTGCTGGAAGAGGCCAGCACCATGGCGTGTTAATAGGGATCTGAATTTGATGGAAACTCCTCCGAAGAGACGTCTCCATTCCCTCCTCAGGGAACGAGGGTTACCATCCGTAATTAAGACGTTTTAGATTAAGATTAGATTAAGCCAGGATTTGTTAGTTCAAATGCACCTTAGAAAAAGACACTACTGGTGTGCATCTTGAGTAGGGATAGGAATTGATAAGATTTTATCAATATCAATGCCATTAACGATTCTGCTTATCGATCCGATTCTTTAACGATTCTCTTATCGATTCCTGATAGCACTGTGGGACAAAGTAGTCATATGCTTTTTTTGGGGGGAAAACTCACAGCTTTGTCATTTTTCAAGCACCATAGCATGGCGTCCAAAGCGATTTTTTTGTACCACCAAAGCCTTATTTGATCGGTGAGTAAAATTGCCTCTCTCTGTAGTTATGAACCTCTGCGCTTGTTACAGGGCGCGTGTTAAACTGAACGAGCAGGGAGAGAGAGAGAGAGCCCCGGTCGTGCGCGCGCGCACCTCTCTCTGGCTTCACCGTCTCAAAAGCGCTGTCTTGCTCTCTCTCTCTCCCTCGCACATATTAATCAAAATAATCGACACAATGGTAAGGTCGGGAGACTAAAGTTTCATGTGCAGCATTCGCAGATTTGTTTTTCCTGAATTACCGCTAGGTGGGAATTGTGCTAAAATAGGCCTACGTTGCCTTATCTTCTCTGAAAAGCGTTCCGCACAATTTAGCTGACATAAACCACTCTTTAAATAAACGGAAAAAAACGACCCAAAGATGAAATGTTTTCTGTGATGACACACATCTTGTGTGGGATGTCCCAACCGCCGGGATAAATCACACACAAAGCGCACAAGTCCGATAATGACACGTTCAATTCACGAAGTAATGACTCATTTGAACTGATTCATTTTAATGAATGGTTAAAACAACTTAACTGATCTTCCAACACTGAACTCATGGGGCGTTTAATTGGTGTATAACTAATCATAACACTTTTCAATAAGGTTTCATTTATTATATAAATGACATCAAAAGTACAGTTTGCTTAGTCAAGTGTAAGGTTTAAAACAAATAAAACCACTGGTTCACTGTCTGTCTGTAGCCTACATACTCAGAGGTTGACTCAGAGCAGGAGCATCGATAAGAGGTATCGTTAACGTCGAGGGCATACAATATCAATGGATCGCAAAATTTAGAACCGGTTCTCGAGTGGAACCGGTTTTCGATTCCCACCCCTAATCTTGAGATAAAACAATGTTTTTTTTTTTAAGATATGCCAGTGAAAGTTACTTTCAGTTAAAACAAACATACATCTCAAACATGTATTTTAGTATTTGCAATTTATCAGTTAGAGGCCATAACAACTGCATGGATTGAGTGTGAGATAGATCTGAGATGCTTTTGCGATGACGACGTGTACTCACCTGGGTTCTCTCTGGGTTTCAGGCCCTCCTGGCCTTTGGGCAAAAAGCCACCATGAGCCCAGTCAAGCATGGGCTTTATCTGTTCTTCAAGACTGTCTGACTCACTCGGAGGAAAAGTCTTCTCTGCCCGTATACTAGCCACCTGTTGACATGCAGATAGTGGGAAAACAGTATGTCAGAGTAACTGAAAGAAAACAGAAACCATCCTGGAAACAAATGTCTCAGGTGGAATAAAACCAACTATGTGTATCGTGTCTAAAATAACGTATTCAGAAAGACTATCCTCTCAGTAGAAATAGAGACAAATTGCAGATATTAATCATGCTGTATAGAGACTGCAAAAGAGTGGGGTACAAAAACAGAGAGAGAGAGAAAGTAAAGTGCAGCCAGTCCTGTCTTTCTGGTGCATGTCTGGGCTTGGATGCTTCTGTTAAGTTTGTTAGGAGGTACGATTCACAAAGAGATAATTAAGGAAGATCTGGGGAATTCCAGACTTTCCAGATGAGTGTTTTCCCAGTCTCCTGTTTATCTCACACATAAACACATACACACTGCATTGTGTAAAAGTAAAGTCCAAGCTCCCTGAATTCAGAACAGACGCATATTTTTGTATTATTGTCTTCTATTAAGTGAACTACAGATGTTGCAGCCAAGTGCCCCATAGGAGATAAAAGTTGTATAAAACAATAAACACAGACTTCTCCCTGCTCTCACCTCCAGGGACTGAAAGATTGCTCTACGGTAGGAAGCCAGTTTGGTGTAGGATGACTGGTTGAAAAACTTTGGGAAGGCTGTGATGGAATCGAGTTTGTCAGCAGACACCTGCAAGATACACATGACACCACCAGGGTCAGAAGGTAACCAGGGCTCAGGGCAAACATTTATTTGTGTGCATGTTAAGTTAATAATTTAATTGTATATGTAATACACTATATATATTTATATATATATTAGTGCTGTAGTGCTGTAAAACGCATTAATGCATATGATTACTTTTTTTCAGTTTAACACTTTAAAAATATTTAACACAATTAAGGAAGCACACGTTTTTTTAGGGCAGCACGATTAATCGAATTTTAATCACGATCACTATTTTGGCATTCAGAATTGCAGTATAATTGAAAGCTTAAAATCAATTTTAACATTTAATAGGCTTTAAAAACTATTAAAACTTTTAATTGAAGTTTCTCTGACTCATTTTCTGGGAAAGTAACGTTGATCCAAATTGAAAAAGGAACTACGGTTCATTACCAAATTTTCAGTAGTAACGCGTTACACTACTTTTTGCCCGAAAAAGTAGTTACATTACTGTAACGCGTTACTATTTGTTTTAAAATTCACATAATTGCAGAGACGTTCAAACTAGTGATGTCAGAGGAACCAGTACTTCAGGATCAAATCAAAACACCAATAAAACATGTCACAATACCAGTTTTTCTACAGTTACAGTATAACTAATTTAATATGGCATTCAAGTAATGTCACCACGGTCAGCACTTTAATGAAAAAGCTAAAAAAAAAATATTTTTTTATTTTTCAAATTATGTTTGATAGCTGTTGTACATGAAGAAAATGCATTTTGTACATGAAAAAAACGCATTTTTTGTGAATGATAAGTATTTTTTTACTTTTCTTTAGATCAATTTTTCTTTAAATGTTTACTTGAATTGAATTGATATTGATGTTAGTTACTTGACAGCTCTTTTTATTAGTTCTATTGCTTTTTATTTGTTTCTTTATTCTTGATTTGGTTACTGACTGTTTACTTGCTTGAAAAAAAACTGAAGCAAAGTTTATACCTACCATTATTTTAAAATTGATAATATTTACATCGATATTTAACATTTAAAATAAAATAGTATTTTTTATATCATTTTAGTCTGTTATTGAAATTTCACAGCTATTATTAGTATCAACTACTACAGTTGTTGTATTCTGAAACCCTTAATTTTGTTTGTTACCTCTGAGAATTTTCCATCTCCAAACCACTGAAGCCAGCGCATGCCGTGGGACGCCTGCCTCTTCCCTGTTGCTCTCCAGGGCACCACCATCCCGGGCCACCAAGAAAAGCCCTTTATCTTGCCCCAGACTAACTCTCCAATACCAAAGCCTTTATTATCCTGAGGAAGGAATATATATGTGGAAATTAGAAATAGTTGACCATAAATTAACATTTTCACACTCACTGAAACCTGCATTAGATTTGAAAAGTATGCAGACACAGATTTTAGTGTATAATAGCTTTAATGTCAATTTAAATGTATTTTACATTTTTAAATATGAAGATTTTACTTCTTTAATATGGACAAGTTTTAATTTGTTTTTTGGTCTGTTTTGTTCCCATCCAGCCTGAACATTCTGCTAAATAATTTCTTTTGTGTTCCACAGAAAAAGAAAAAGCATGCAGGCTTCGACTGGTAGATTATCATTTCTTGGAGAATTATCCTTTTAAATAAGATGGACAATCAACCTTCTCACTGCACAGATTTCTTTGATCCAGTTACACAAAGATTGAGCATGACTGAGACACAAGCAAAACCTCTTACACTGAGCTTGTCTGAGCAGGACTCACAATCAGTCAGGACCATTTCAACAGCGCTGTTGTTTCCTCACCTGTGCAAGTGTCAGTGAGTATTTATGAGTCAGTGCTCAACAGTGACTTAGAAGATGCTATAACCCACAAAACCCCAATTCAAGACCTTCACGCTCTCATTGTCTTGATCATCAGTGTTCTCTAAACGCGCAGCTGCCTGGCTTAGTGACACGCACAGGAGAGGATACACCACAAGCACAAAAGCAGTTGTCTTCACATTCAAACGAAGCCGTTCTGTGAGGCAGGTGGACAAATATTGGTACTTGTGGATTGTTTGTGCATCAACATAAAGAAGAACGGGACATGAAAAGATAGGTGTGTGTGTGTGTATGATATCCTGGTACCTTGTACTCAGGTTGTCTGGCTGTGTCAGTAGTTGAGGTGGATGTTGCGCTGCTCTGTGCAGAGTCTTTAGAGTCCTGTTCCATGAGCTCCAGTATGGGACCCTCAGGGACACTAGAAACCTACAGACACACACAATTTCAACCTTTAGTCAAAGCAAAACAAAAACAACACAACAAAACAATAACAACAAAACATATTGCAATGATAGGTAAAATAGAAAATATGGGGCAAATGTCTAACCTGCTGCCCTCACAGACTTTTAGCACGACAACATTTCTGTCAGCAAGTTTTTGTGTGTGTTTTTACAAACTGTGAGGCAGTTCGAAATTATTTTCTGTGGAAACTGGTGACATGCCACAGAGATTTCAATACAGCTTAAATTGAATTTAATCTGGAATAATCACTTAGGATAGCCGTGTAGCACATGGTAGCTGGTTTCTGGCTGGTCATGACTTGTTTTTGCAAGCAGGAACCTTGACCAAGATGGTCTACCAGGGGTGTGTTTCCTGTACAATACCATAACTCCCTGCTTAGCTATCATTAGTGCTGCACGATTAATCATATTGCAAACGTGATGTTAAGCCTATGCGATTATATGACGCACAATCCTGCGATTTTATATCAAATAAACAAATTAGGGCTGTTAACGCAATTATCGCAGCATCTCTTATTTTTTGTCAACCTTTGGCTAGAGTAGTGTTGCAAGGTGCACCGATACTTCAAAAGTATTGCGATACTCGGAAATTAAAAACCTCACGATACCTAAATTTATTAGTATCAATACTTTTATGAATGACCGCAACCCAGATTTGTAAGAGACGTATTTAATGTTGGTGTGTGCCACGCACGCTTCCAGTCTCTCCCTATGAACGTCTGTGTTTCTCCTCACGCACGCAGCAAAGAAGCTGCAGCTGTCATGAGACAAACACTACCACGAGACGGCTGCATGCGCGAGCACACGTGATAGAGTGGCCGCCTGTCAGTAGCGGAGTGGCAATCAGGAGAGTCGGATCTTTTCCCGGTGGGCCGTTGCAAGTTTGCAAGTTATTAGCAACACAATCCAGAGGTCTCTGCAACGGCGATAGTTTGAAGCGCGCGTCCGTGTGAAGACGGTGCGCGACTGCGCGAGCCGCAAAAGATACTGTATCCAACTGATAGCAGCGAAAAAGAGCGGTGCTTGATTTAAAAACAACAACAACAACAACAGATTTTAGCGCTAGATCTCTTATTTAATAGCTAACTAAATGAATTACCTGCTAGTTAACTGGAGATGTTTCATTTATTTTTGTATTAGGTGTACGTACAACTTTCCCCCCAACTTTCATAGATAGCATAAATAATTTGCAAGCTGCTAAAATAAAGGATACAAAACATCAGCAAAATGATCCATCAGCTATATGATTATAATCAGAGCATGTGCATGTCAGTGATTTATTTATATTAGGTTATTACAGCATTAAAGGGCACAAATGTGCAAAGGAGGTGCATATGAAACACCTTGTAAGAAATACTTTCCTTTTCAGGAAAAGTATCGAAAAAGTATCGAAATCGCAATACTTGACTTGGTATCGGTATCGAAACACTAATTTTGGTATCGTGACAACACTAGGCTAGAGTAATGATCCCACTCTAATTCGTGCGAATGCTTTTGAACCATTTCTGTGTGACAAGTCAAAAGAGAGCGTGCTGCCTGTGAATGTCCTGACAGTGACTCACAGAAAGATGCGCACCAGTATCATGCGCATGCACAGACAGCGCCAGAATTCAGTTCTCTTTCACGCTTGAATGAACAATAACACACACAATTATGCAAAAAATGACGTTTTTGTAGAGCAGATGGACTTAAAGAGTTCTGTTGACAGAGGCTGCTCTTAAAGGGCCAGCAGCCAATAACGCTTTCTGTCAGTAAAGTTCATCAAAGAACAACAGGAACAGAGAAAATTGCTCTTGACTAAAGAACTTTTGTAGCTTTGATAATGATTAGTCTATTTATAATTTATGCAGGGCAGACTGTTTGATAACTTTATTCAGTTATGTATATGTCCTGGCTGTTAGACACGATATGATATTTATTATGGGTTTATGTAAGGGTTGTTTGAAGTTCACTTAAATTAAAAACTTTTTTGAAAACTAATAAATGTTGTTGTTGTTTTTTTTTAATTATAGCTTTCAATTGAAATTTTTCATCCAGACATCAATGGCTTATTGATCATTATAGGTGTTATCAATCAGTTGTTGCTAGTTTGAGTTGAGATATACACATTTCAGAATTTTCACTAATTTGTTTATGCAATTTGCATTAGAACCAAGCAAGTTGACTCATGAAACTATTTGTTTATTGTATCGCAATCGCAACATTGACCTCAATAATCGCAATATGATTTTTTACAACATTTTCCCCAAATCGTGCAGCCCTAGCTAACATAGTACCATACATTGTTGGAGATAACTAGCTAGTCATGACTGTTTTTTTAAATGTAGTAACTGTAGCACATCCACCACTCAAACTCATAAAAATCGAATATTCTAATATTTGTTTATTTAAATAACGTTTAACGAAAAAGACGTTATTTTTTAAGTTTAAGGTTGTTGTTTTTTGTGTCACCATTTCTGAACAAGCTTATGATTAGGCAATATAAACAACAAGCTTAAAATATATCTTATATCTTTTTTTTAGGTGAACACATTAAACAATATGAGTAAACAATAAATATAAAGAACAAACACATTCAAGCTCAAGCAGGCTAACAGAGAGAAAAAAAACGCTAAAAAGCAGACTATGCAGACTACTATCGTACAGGCCGAGTCAGAATATGGTTATCGTGTTTATATTGTTTCACATTCAAGTTGAGAAAACAATAACATCCACATGCTCGAGTGAGAAAACATGCTGCGCTGACAGATGTTGCAGAGACAAAGATAGCAGTGTTCTAACCAAAGTTTCTAACAGCACTTTGTGTTTTCTGTTCTTTAACCTGTCTCCCTCAATGAAATTTTAAGATAGCATAGGCCTATGTCTCAAAATCATTCAGCTATAAGATAAGTTATCATCTCGGATCACTCCGGGTGTACAGCTGCGCTTTACCTGCAGTCATGATGGAGTGATGGACAGCTGTCTTTCCTCAGTCGAATGGTGTTTGGATTCCATGTTATTTCTCATGGTGGCGAAATTATGATAACTCAGATTCATTAATTAATTTGATCAAAAGTAATTCCATTTTGTAAGATCATTTTACATAGTTTTCCTCTGAGTATCCTAACTCCAAACTTCGCGAGGCAGACGACAACATTATGTGATCAAATACAAACAACTTGTTAAACACACTCCACAGTGCCACCCAATGCATTTAATTATGATTGCGAGTTAGTGCTTGGGATTTATCATGGATTCACTGCATTCATTGCATGTCACTGCAAAAAAAACAGTAGCACCTCATTGCAGTACACGAGATCCAAGGGGACGGAGATGGATCCAGATCTAAGGGGTGGAGATGGGTAGGATTAGGGGTGGGGTCAGAGATCAGGGGGTGGAGATGGGTAGGATTAGGGGTGGGGTTAAAGATCAAGGGGTGTAGATAGGTAGGTTTAAGTATATGTAATGTAGGAGGAGTTGGATCTGGATCCAACTCCTCCCCCTGGATTTCATGTTCTACAGTGAGGACCTTCTCCAAAAAAATACATTTATGGCCAGTTCAAACCTTGCTGATTCAGTCGTTAATGACATCATGTAGGTGGTGGAGTAATAACAGCTAATAAATTGGTCATTTTACTGCACTTTTTGAGATGGTCCTCACTGCAGAACATGAAATCCAGCAGGAAGGAATTGGCTCTGGATCTCCCAGCTTACATATACCTAATACTAGAGGTCTTCTCGGGTCCTAAAAACTGTACCCGACCCGAATTGACCCGAATCACTACTTACCCGAACCCGACGTGCATAAATTATAAAAAAGAAAAAAAAAAGAAAAACCCGACCCGAGACAGACCCGATAAAATTAGACCCGATTCCGACCCGACCTGATGCCATTTCCTTTAGAACCCGACTGGACCCGAACGTAAACGACATTTACAGTGTGCACAGCCTGCAGCCCTGCGTTTCTCAAAAATGCGCTTATCCTAGACGCGCAAGTGCACGCTGAGTGTAAAATATCAATCACACATCACTGTAACCCTTTATGTCCTATAACATTTGGCATAATGTTATTTACCGGACCACGATGATTAGAACCACCACAGGGTAAAATTTACTGATGTCTGTTTTTAAAATAGCCTACAGATTTTCATTCAAATTCTACCAGTCATTGACTTTTACTAAAATTGTGTTATTTAGCCTACAATCCCGTTGTTACAAAGTTGTTTAGATAAAATGCGATTAAAACAGGGCATTAGAACCACAACAGCAGTCAAATTGGACGTTCTGAATCAAATCTTAATATGGTACCGTTATTGCATCAACGCATTTAACTGCCCGTCTTTTTTCCTTCCTTATCAATAAGGATGAGCCTGGATGTTTCTGTTCTACATATTCGTTTTCCCTCACCTTTTTCACAATATCTGTTTTATCGTCTCCACGCTTGTCTGACAGTGTCGCGTATTTTTAAAATTGATTGACAGGCCTGGCTAAACGACAATTCAAATACTTGCATGTAGTCAAACATCCATCCACATGATGGCGCACTAGTTCTTCTTTGCAAACGGAGGGGTTGTTTTTTGTGGAGCGAGCAACTGAGTAAATAAATGCGGAGGCAACAGTGCTTATGCTTATATCCCATTGCGAGTAAAAGCACGGATTCGCTCTCTCACCTAAAAAAAAGTCAGAACGGTCATAGAGTTGTTTTAAATGCTGCAATTTTGTTAAATGCCCAACATTGTTTAAAATAATTTGAGTCTTCTCGGGTCCATTTGGAAAAGGCATTTTTATTTTAAGTTACCCGAGGCCACTAATACCGAACCCGACCCGTGTCCGAGACACTCGTCGGAGTTTTGGACCCGAACCCGCTCGGGTCTCGGGTCGGACCTCGGGTTTTCGGATCCAAGTGGACCCGTGAAGACCTCTACCTAATACTACCCATCTCCGCCCCTGATTCCTAACCCCACCCCTAATGGCACCACACCCCTAATCCTACCCTTTAAATCTAGATCCAACTCCGCCCCCTGGATCTCGTGTACTGCAATGAGGTGCTGCTGCACTTTTTCTGTCTTTGCTCACCCTACCACAACACAGACAAAAAGACCACAGGCAACTTCAAATGTGTGACAGCATAAATACACAGTGATAGACAGCTCGACTTAAAGGTGTTAAGTTAAGAGTACGGAGCTGACAGTGGCATGACAGCTTTAATCTGCTTCGAGGGTGATCTCTGTTCGTCAGCCTGGATTTCAGTGTCTGACAGAAAAAAAATTCACTTAAAGCATAATGCAGCTTTGTGTGTGTGAATGTGAGCATTACCATGCTGCTGTGATCCTGTTTATTATGCCCCCTCTCTCTGTTGCAGGGTTTACTGTGAGCTGTCAGTCCTGCCTGGAAAATAGTCCTGGGACGAGGCCTTTGCCGCAGACCCTTCTCACAACCAGACTCAATGTCAGCCTTTTCCTGAAACCATAATCCCGTAACAATAAGCTGATCCATATGTTTTAGTACTGTACCATATTTCAAGGTACATTTTATAGAAATAATGATTAGCGGTAATTAGCAGATTAGTGATTTTATGTTTTTTTTCAATGGCCTTCTAAAATCTAGAGTGCAGGGAGGCTAATGGCAGATATTAGATTATATTATTACACAGCTGAAACTAAATGAATATGATTATTTATAATGATTGTTACTTTCATTCTCTCAAATGTATATTTTGTTTGCTGCATATTTACACTTTTATAGACAGGAATAGTCTTTCAAAAATCATACTAGCAGGTATCAATACTTTAGACACAATATAATTCCATACACTGCATTTCATCATTTTGATAATAGGTTGGTAAGGCAAGGTTATGCACACAACAGTACTTGCTCAGTCTGCAAACTATATAAATTCCCATAATCTGACCTATATCTTCAATGTTTTGCTTTGTTTCCTCTTTGGACTGGATACACACGCTTTATCAGTATAGAGGAAAATCGCAGATAAGCTCAAAACACAATAGAAAAGATAAGAAGTGATATATAATACAGTCATATCTGTTTATCAACATGTATCTGCTTTTAAGGAGTCTTTATAGTATAGACTGAATAGCCCTTAACATCTTAAAGGGTGAGATGTGTTATGGGTAAAGATATTTATCACAATAACAAATTAAAAGACATGCATACACATGCACACAGTTTGCAGTTAGCACGCATGTATATGGCTGACTCTTTTGTTTAAAAGGGCAGCATGAATGCTGCACAATGCGCTCTTTCTGCATTTCTTGCTCTAAAAATCTCATGTGGATAATGCACAGAAGTTCCATTGAAGTGATCCCAAACTCCGTATGTATGTGTTTTCCTGCATCTGTACAGACAGCCTCCACGATGCACCTGCTCTATAAAATTACAGATGCATTTATGAACGTAAATAGTCTATCACAGCAGAGGTGAATGAATGAAGAAATCTATGCAAATATGAATATAACACCACATTTTGAGTGTTTTGTCGTCTCAGTTACTCAACGATATATTGATTTAGCAAGAAGGTCCCCGGTTCCTGACCCAGGAGTCCTTTCTTGTTAGCGTGGGCTTCCTTCGGGTGCTCTGGTTTCTCCCACAGTCCAAAGACATGCAGGTAAGATGGATTGGATATGACAAATTGTTGTGTCCGCGCGCGTGTGTGTGTGAATGTGTCCCAGCACCAGTGCTGAGCTGTGTCAGGAAGGTCATCCGGCGCAAATGTGTGTGTGTGTGAATTGGACTCTGCAAACGAGTGGAAATGACGCTAAGAAGATGAATGGATGGATTTATATTTCCTGGAATAAAGCAACTATTTTTGCCCTATTTCAGCCATGTCTCTGGAAACAGCAGTAAAATGGACTTCGGAATAGATCTGTCTGGAATAGATCTGTCTTATTGAAGCGTTCTCTGTCAGTGTGCAAGAAGATCACATGCGTAAGTAAATGTAAGTGAATTCTCACCTCACTGTAGGAGGAATCCCAGGCACTGTCTTCCTCTGTATCAGAGCGCTTACGAGATCTCTTTCTTCTGATGCTGTTCACACTCTCGTCTGAAAATTTAAGAAAGTTCATGACAAATGATAAGAAAATGCAGACACTTTAGTTGCTATATACTGCATACTACTTTATCTTAGGCCTACCTAGTTATGAGTTTTAGACACCAGAATGATCATTTCATTTAATTTATTTAAATGTACAGAATAATAACAATAAGCATTTCTAATACTAATATTTGACAATGGTGGAGATAGGTAGTAGTGTGATAGAATTGCTTACTAACGTTATATTGAATATTTAAATTACTGTCATAATTATGTAATGTCGCTAAACATGGTAACTTTCAGATGATTCGCACAAAGATAATTACATTTTTAAAAAAAATTTCAATTTCTCATGAAATACATTGGCAACAGTAGTCTTACTACTAAAATGACAATTCAATCAAGTGTGTTAAATAATGTAGTCACTTATCTAATAATAAACCCTCCAAAATGTCTTGCCGTATAGACTTGCATTGTACTTGCATTACTGTAAACATTATGTTTTAAGTTACTTTCTGAAGTAATTGGCAGAATGTCCCAGATGCTGAACCCAGAACATGGGTCTGTGTACCTGCGGGTGAGGCTGCGCCTCCGTTCTGTTTGGGGCAGAAAGGTGAAGGTGGCTCTGCCGCAGTCAGTGGGCTGTTCTCATTGGTGATCTCCAGACCACTGTCATTCTCTGACAATCCCTCCCCCACAGACGTGTCGCCATTCACGGCAGCCTGAAGAAATTGTGTTTTATAATTTTCAGACCACAGACCACAAACACAACATTTGGACAACTCACAATCAACAGAACTGGATCTCTAGCTTATACTAGCCGAGAACTAGATTATACTAGCTGAGACTCCTTCTTTATGTGTACAGATGTGATGTAATGACGCAAAGACAGCTCGAATCTCCCGCGGAAATCCACCAGTACCACTGGAGTTAAAAACATTATTATTACAAGCTTACCACTTTGAATCGAGCTACGGCAAGCAGATAGTTTTGAACACTCGCTGGTTATGTATTATCCTTAAATATGTATTTTGGATCATTTTTAACCCCAAAAAAGCTATAGACTGCAGCTTGGACAATCGGTAAATTTTATGGAATAAATTATTATCGAACAATTAATTAATCGTCAATATTTTTTTATATTATTTAATTAAGCAGCACAACTGTTTTAAAACTGATAATAATAAGAAGTGTTTCTTGAGCGCAAAATCAGCATATTATTAGGATCTCTGAAGGATCATGTCACAAGACTGGAGAAATTCAGCTTTGACATCACAGCCATAAATTGCATTTTAAATTGATTGAAATAAATAAACTTATTTTAAATTGAAATAATATTTCATTATATTATTTTTTACTAGGGATGTGCGAGACTAGCCATGTAGTCAATGGCTGCTGTTAAAAAGATTACATTTAAAAATAACCATCATGTTAATTTTACATCTTAAAATTATTCTTAAAAGTGTAAAGTGTTTTAATTTATTATATATTATTTTGAAAAGTGAATATCTGCAGCGGAAAACAAAATCATTAAAGTTTACCACAAATTTAGGATGCATTCAATTTTACTTGTGTAAGTTTATTGTCTCCGGGGGAGTTACGTGATACAACTCACGTTAACTTGATAATTCCGCAAATAACTGCAATTGCAGATTTCGAACAGAGATGGCGAAAAAGAGGAAACTACAGCTGGACTACAGCTTTAAACATTATTAAAATTAGTCATTGTGGAAATACAAATCCACACATTTTTACTGTATTTTTAATCAAACAAATGCAGCCTTGGTGAGCATAAGAGACTTCTTTCAAAAGAATCTTACTGACTCCAAACTTTTGAACTGTATTGCAATGATTTATTATATTATTGCTTTATTTCCAATTCATTTTCCCTAAAGATTGTGCTATTCTATTTAAGACAAAAATGGTTTAACAGTATTTACACTTATTTAGCAAACACAGCTTAGAGATAAACTCTCTGAATCAATGATTTGTTTGTGTAATCAGTGTCACTGAAAGAAGTCCCAGCTTGGCCTTTTGACAGTAAATACATTAAAAGGTTTTAGTATATTTCGTTTACGGTGCCTCTGACAAAAAGTGTGTCATTTTTGCAATTTCAAAGCAAACACAGAAATGTCAAAAAGGTGAAAAATATTAATGTGATTTTTTTTTGTTCTGCTTTTTCACCCTCTAATGTGAACAGTGCCAAATAGAAACAAGTGTAAGTTGTGTATGTGGGTGAGCAAAAACTATACAAATGAAAAAGCAGATAACTGCTAAAAAAATGAGAGAGCACTGTTTTCTTAAAGCACATAGACAGAAGATTGTGCGTTCATGAATGTGGGAACAAAACAATCTGCTGTCGCATTTCTGGAACCATCCACTGGAATCCCGGGCATCTTTAATGCCACAGCTGCTCACACACACACACACACACACACATTGAGTTTCAATGTTTTATGGGGACTTTCCATAGGGAATTGTATATGATGTGTATATCAAAACAAACTGTATATTAAATCCACTAAACCTACATGTCAAAAAATGTTTCAAATAACATTTATAAGCTGTTATCCTCATAGGGACCAAAAAATTTCCCCATAATAAAGGGAATACCAACCACACATACCTGAGTAAATGATGACAGAATTGTTTAGGGGAACTAGGTGCATTTTATATTATGGTGCATGTTTGAATAATACAATGACAAAAAAAGTAGGATCGATAATCCTAATATTGAGTTCTAGCATATAAATTATTAGTTACGTCATCAGCATGATGCTTAGAAAATCTGTCTGTAAATGAATGCAAGAGCTGCTCAAAATCACATCAGCATGAACAAGAGTAAACTACAACATTCTGTTTAAGAAGGGTTTAAGGAGGCAAGTAGAGGCTGGAGAGGTCAAAGGGTTTATGGATTCCTTCATTCATTCAGTTTATCTTTCTGCTTGCTCTTAATGACACCCCCTGCACTGCTCTTGCCTAAAGGGGCCCCCGGCTCAAGCTTCTGAAAGGCTGAAAAAAGTCAGCAGATCATAGCAGGTGGCTCAGATCCCCTTTTATACTACGTAATAGTACACACACACAGAGAGAGAGAGAGAGAGAGAGAGAGAGAGAGAGAGAGAGAGAGAGGAAAAGCAATGTGTAGAAACTCAATGTTATTTCCCAGAGTTCTGCCATGCTTTCCAACCATGTGAACAGACACGCTCCCAAAGCCAAAGGTACAGCGGAGAGGCTCATCAGATAACAGCTCTGTTAGCAGACATAAATGATTCCAGACAAGACACAACATGAGCAAACAGTGGAACCACATGTCATGAACCTGTATGACAACTTGTTTTAGCCAGTAAAGCCTGTTATTACTCAAATAACCCACGAGTGAAACTCAAAATGACAACACCAATACTGAGTATTCAGCCTTAAAACACCGCCGAGTGGTGGCATCGGTGCCACAAGTTCTACAGATGGTGACAACAGTAACTGATTCGGAAGTGCTGGGAAGATTTAAAAAAAAGTTGATTTAGTCCTAAAATTACTATCATTTTACATGAATTAGTGCAGTTACTAATAATATTGCATGTTTGTCTATTGGAAATTTGACAGTAAAGCACTGAGCTTGAATTGAGATGGATTAACTGAACTCTTATTAACCCCTTCACACATAAGTTTAAAACATTCTAACTGAACCCCAGCGTGAGTTTTTCAAGGCGTCCGTTATTTAGAACTTGACACTTTAATGTTTCCATGGTGACGCGTCATTGCTTGTCACGTGACACAGCACAACCGCAACACAACGCTGAATGAATGAAGATCTACTTTTATATAATTTTTCCTGTTTTATTAAAAATATTCACAAAATGTATTAGCTACAGCATGAAACACTGATATTCCGATTGTCAAATATGTGTAAGTGGATGGGTTTTGTTGTTTAACCATCTTTATAACGATCGCGTTAGTTGAGCTGTCTGCACAATGGGCGCGCCATTTTAGTTTGTTTTACAGCTCAGAGAATCGGATCTGTTGGATTTACGTCATTTCTCACGAAATACATGAAAGTAAGTGGCTGGTGAACTGGGAGAAGAATAGGGTCAATCAAATGTTAAAGAGCACCTATCATGGATTTTTGAAAATGACTGTTCATGTAGTGTGGACTATAGCTCTAAGGGAATGAAAACATCCTGCAAAGATTTATAACTGAAAGTGCACCGTATATAAAGTTATTGTCTTTCAAAAGTGAGAGTCGACTCTGAGTCTATGAAATGAATTGTTTTGAAACGAGTCATTAACTGTTACATCGTGACATACAGTAGATACGAAACATTAGCACATTCAAATACTTCAGCAGAATAGCATCATGTCGAGAAGACGCTGTGTTCTACATTGCAAAGACTGTTCAGCCACTTGTTTTCATTGCCCAGGGACGAGCATGTGAAGAATCAGTGGTTGGAATTCATATTTGCAACGATACCACAACAGTATAGCCCGAACCTTGTGTTCTCATCATTTAATGACGAATCATTGAAAAACATAAATTAATTCAAATGTGGATTCGCAAGCCGGTTGTTCCCGAAGGACGGCTCAGTATCCAGTGTATATGGATCAGGTTCATCCTCCTCCGAATCACAATCTGTAAGTATTATTAATAATGTTTGCTGTTATGTTTTCTGTAGCGTGCACACTATAGTTATATTGTGTTGTGTGCGTTTGGTACACTCTGCGCAGCTTCTAAGCGAGGTAAAGTTAGTTTTGTTTTTGATATTCACCAGACATTCACTGAAAAATGGCAATTACCTCCTAAACGACTTAGTCAAATATGACTTCGCTCTATATAATAAGCACTGCCCCTCAAAAGCCGCCGCAATGTGAGTTTCGCCAGGAAAGCTTGCTCTTGACGGAGACGCGAGTAAGGGACCGTGTGGAAAGTGCACTTTTTCTGACACGTTTGTTCAAACACTATATACAATTTTCAACAGTTGACAAGCTATAATCCTGGTTATGGGCGTTCCGTTGCCGACAGTCTCTGCTTACGGTTTACCAATAATAACTGACTGGGTCATTTGACCAATCGCCGCAGATTCGCGTCACTCAAAGGAGGTGTTTGGGAAAATGAATCGTCGAACGAATCATTTGGGAGTCGTTGAGCAAATCAGGTAAAAATAAATGCGTATTATAAGACAAATAAAAGTGTTTTATATCCTTGCATGCACGTTAAACTGTTTTTGGGAACTCCCAAAACAAAAATAGGAACATTTCAAATACTATGATAGGGGCTCTTTAAGCTGATTCATCCAGTAATGAAACAAGTGAAGTACTTCTGAGCAAGTCATTTGATCATTCTTTCAAACCCTTAAAAAAAAGTTAATATAATATTTTTCACATTTCTGTTTGCGGGAGAATCGTGATCTCTGTTTGAAAAAAAAAAAAAAAAAAATTCATCCAGAATCGTGCAGCTCTAGTGTCGTGACAACACCACACCACAGACTTACATTTCTGTCAGTTCATTACAAAATAATAGACCAGAAGAAATGTTTTCTGTGGAAACCGAATGCCTGTGACAAATGGTGTCAATAGCTTTAACCTGTATTTAACCTCAAACATTCCTTTAAGTTAAAAATAAATAATGATGTTGAGAACACTGACATGCTGCAACAGAGTAAAAGGAGGTCAGAACCATTTAAGATGTTTCATAGAACAGATTTGTTGGAACAGACTAGTTTCAGTTGAAGGTGTGCATCAAAATGAGTTGGCACATGCTCTTGGGCATCTGAATGGCCAGTGTGCTCCTCTCTCTTCCCCGGCCAAGTAGCTGGTCTGTGGGATTCAGAGCACTTCCTCAGCCAGGTGCAGCGTTCAAAAAGCCTGCTCTCTCTCACTTTCTCTCTCTCTCTCTCTCTCTCTCTCTCTCTCTGTGTGTCTTTGCACTCTATGGAGTGCAGGACCAAAAGAAAGTAATTAAGCGGTCTTGCCTAATTTACAGTCATTAAGTAAAAAATAAAACTTCAGGGCAGAGTTGAGTAGAGCTGTCACAACAAACCTGCTAGAGCAGCTCTTCCATTATCAAAACCAGATACTTACATTTTTCCTCTCTCTCCCCTTTCTCTAATCCCCTAAATTCCACGGCACCTTTGGCCTCATTTTGAACCCAAAACACCAGAGATTAATGGGACACCCACACCAATCCACACCTCTGCTAGTGTGCATGTAGGTGAGAAAAGTGTCAAACAGATGAGTGGTTTTTGAAGTGAAAGTAAGGCTGATATAATTGATATAATTGCACGATATATATTGATATGGTGCACGATATAACGGCCTCCGATATAATATCGGCCGATATGGTAAATTTTTTACACATCAGTATCGTTCCGATGTCAAAATCCGATGTGAACTGGCTGAACTACCACTGGTTGTGAATTGTGCTAAAATAACATTGGCTTATCTTCTCTGAAAAGCTTTCCACACATTCAAATGACATAAACCACACTTTCAATAAATAAACAAACAAACAAAAAAAAATCTATCCAGCGATGAAATGTTTTCTGTGTTGAGATAAATCTTGTGCGATGTCCTAAACTGCCTGGAAAATCACACAACATTTAACGTGGTCCGTTAATGACACGTCCGATTCGCAAACTAATGACTCATTTGAACCGATTCACTTTAATAACCGGTTAAAACAACTGATCTGTCCAACACTTAACTCAAGAGACATAAATCGGAAAAACTTTACAATAAGGTTCCATTTATTAAAGTGCAGTTAACTACATTTGTTAACATTCTTTTAATATTAGTTTCTATGCAGATTTACTCCATGACAAAACCCCCCCAGTCATTCTCAAATGATTCATTCTTTCCAAATAGAGCTATTCAAGTCATCTGGTCAAAGTGTTTTTATATAGCAGAAAAACTAAATATCGCAATGTCATTTTTTTACCAACATCATGCGGTCCTAATCCTCGCTAAGTGATTTCTATAGCAATATCGACATCGGTAATTATCAGTATCGGCCATTACGGCGATGTTAATATCGGTTATTGATATCAGCCACAAATTTTCACATCAGTGCATCACTATAATTTATAAGCAGATATCATTGGAACTAGGGTGGATGTTGGATTTTCAGCAAATAGTGGTCAAAGCTATCGCATAATGTTGGAATAAACGGCACTAAGGTGTATATACACAGTATATATATATATATATATATATATATATATATATTGTATATATATATATATATATATATAATACTTTATATTTATTTTAATCAATATTTAATAAATTGGAGATAAATTAGAAAACAAATCTTTAAAATAAACATGCTTCTAATGTAGATGGCAACTTCTTGAATCTGCAATCCTATTACAGTTTTTTTTTCACAAATAAAGTAATTGTTTAAAAATCAATGAATTTGTGAATAAAATGTAAGTAAACACTGTAATCTGGTGAACACTGTAAACTTCAAAATTTCTCCTTTTTTGTTCCCCAGAAGAAAAAAAGTGAGTTAAGTGTGGGTAAATCATGAAAGATCCTAATTGCTTTCCGAACACTCTTCTTCCATCTTACCGTGGCAGTCATCTTGTCACTTTCCGCCATTATAGCGGAGGAGTACTTATTGGATGGCATCACTACTTCTGCCTTTTTTATGTCTTCCTCTTTATCCTGCAAAAAAAGAAACAGACTTGAATAAATGATAAAAAGAGACAAAACAGAAAAGAATTAACCCAATTTGGCTAAAATATTGAAAAACATAAGCATGCACTTTTCTCCTCTGAGAAAAGATTAATGGATATTTGCTACTAAACATTGACCTCTGTCTCAGCTAAACATGTTGTCATATTTGCCCTTAGGAAACAAGCACTCAAACTTCCTTCAAGAACCAGGAAGAAAAAAAATGGGACAAATAATAATGACTTCATCATTCTAAAAAATCTTTACTCAATCAATGACACAGTAGATTCTTCAGAAAGCTCTAGAACAGTATTGATCTGTATCTACTCTGTATTGATGTTGCAGTAATGATAAGGTTTTACTTCCAGTTTCTGACCTTGCCTTTTTTTCAGGTAATGATATGTAACGATTTTCTTGGTAAGTCGAGACAAAAAGAGTTTGATGTTATATTTCAACTTAATAAGATAATTAAGGCTACTATATTAAAAAAATGGCAGTGCACTGAACTGTTTTTGAGTTTTTCTCAATCCCGTTGGTTCATTTAATGAAACTGTCTTAACTGTAAGTGCAATTGTCATAACTGTTTTACAGTATGGGACATAACAACACTGGAAATTGTGTGATACTGTATATTTTTGTTGACACTGACTGTCAGTTTTGTCTAAAAATGAAATGCTACTGTGTATCACACTAAGCTTTTCTGATACACATTTGAACAGTTGGTAACATTTACTGGGTAAAGTAAATCAATACTGTAGTACACATAAAAAAAATATGCACATTTATTATGTATGCAGTGCATTTATTTTTCAAGCAATGTGTTCCATGTAAACTAGGTTTGCTGTATTAGTCGATGTTATGATGTTCAACCACACACGATTACATCACTTTCCCATTGCGGCACCGCCCCCTGCCGTTGCTTTGATTTTTTGAAATTTCGTTCAGTTAGAGACCAGACACTACATTTAAAAACTGACACGTCTGCTCAATTCAGCTTGTGCCGAACAAGGGTCGCAGCACATATCAGCAGTCAATGAACTAATTAACAAAAGTAGAACGTCAGGTGTAAATCTCGAAATAACCATGGAAATAAACTGAAAGCAACGAAACTTAACTAAAACCCACACAAAACAGGAACCCACACCCCACATGCATGTACTTGTGCTTCATTGGAAACAATAATAAACAAATGAGCACAGCAGACAGCGGGCCAGCTTAGGTCGGGGAAGAGCTGAAGGCTATGGGAGCCAGGGAGGAACCCTCAGCAGAACAACCAAGACATATGCCCACAGTAGAAACCAGGTGGACTACCGACTGAGGCAAAGTTGCTGGAGGTGGAGACCCAAGTGGAGCCGAAGAGCCAACGAGACCAGGCGACACAGAAGGTCCAGGAGACCAAGGCAGCACCATGGGGACAAGCAGCCGTGAAGAAGCCAGAGTGCCCGAAGACTGAGGCATAGCTGGTGTGCCCAAGGACTGAGGTGAAGCCAGAGGAAAGATGGAAGCCCAGAGGAGCAAAGAATGTGGAGGGATGAGTCACTGACGAAGGCCCATAAATCCACGTCGACAGCAGATTATTTAGGAACGGCTTTGCTAGCCAACATGGGACAGGCAGTTTACTCCGGAACTGCCTCACTTGCTGAGGCAAAACAGGCAGATTATTCAGAAAGGTCTTCTCTAGCCAATGCGGAACAGGCAGATTACTCAGGAACGGCGTCACTGATCGACGCAAAACAGGCATATAATTCATGAGTGGCCTCACTGCCGTGTGTAGGGCCCTTTGAAATCCGTTTTATTTTTTCCCAAATTCCATTTTTTCCATTTTAATTTTTGGGAATTAGGGGTTTTTTTTTACCTTTGACTGTCATTTTAGTCATAAAAAGAGTGTACTTTTAAAATTAATGATTAAATTGTATTAAAAAATACAAATAAATTAGGAATGACCTTAAATTTATTGAGGTAATACAGACATTTATTCAGTAGCCTTTTCAGGACAAATACTGCATGATGCAACATAACACTGCACTCTTCAAGTAACAACAAAATATGGTTATGAGCTTTAAACTGTCCAGTAATATAAATTATATTAGTTTATATAAGTTTAAATAAAGTCACACTCTGTCTCTCTCTCGCCCAGTGTCGCTCATGGATTTCGCTTCGCTTTTGTCCAGTCCGGCGCTTCATAGACAGACGCGGTGTGCACGTTTTGTGTCTGTGTGTGTATGTGAGAGAGACGTGTGAGTGAGAGAGAGACGGAGGGAGAGCGGGGAAATACAACTGAAAGAATACGCTGCATGTTTTAAATAGTGTTAAAAATGAAACGGAGTATGTGGCGGTGAATTAGTCTATGTGTGGGAAACACTGCATAAGTCACGTGCGAACTGCTCGGCTCGGCACTGACGGCTTATAGCGGCGAGTTTCTTAACTTTTTGCCAACGAAAGGAAAGCCGTGTAGAGCTGCTTCGTCATTGTAGCTGAAATGACGGGTTGGGGGGTTGTGTCGCCCAGATTTGCTTCCCCCAGTCTGCATTTTCACCAGACATCCGTTCTTCTCCCACACAAAAACAGAATTTCAAACCAAATATGTCAAATTCCACAAAATTCCATGTTAACACTAGATTCCACATTAATTGGCCAATTCCGCAATTCCGTCCGCAATTCCGTGATCGTGGAAATCATAGGGCCCTACATTGGATCAGCGGTTCTTAACCGGTGGACCGGGGGCCAGAAAGACATTTCTGTCTTTGTTAATGTCAAGTTGTCATAATCAAGACATTTTTGATTTTAAACAATGTCAACTTTGCATTAAAAGTGTCATAATTTACCGAATGTAACTTAATGACAACAGTCAAACATTCATAAAGACTCCTTCATGTTCATGGCAGGTGTTATGTCATGTTTATGACAGTGTCATGTCAGTCTTATGCACACCCCTTCAAATAAAGTGTTACCAAGTGGGATAAATCCTTTAAACTACTAACTCTCCTGACTGCTTTGTCGGACAAAATGGCGGATTGTGATAGGTCAGATCGCCTATCAATCAAAGTCCCTGCAATCATGAATTGAGCCAAAGTGATTATTTACTTCTTTCATTTTTTTTTCCAATTTCAAATTTGTTTTTAAATCTCACCTAAAAAAAGTCACACCGGTTAGGAACGACATGGAGGTGAGTAAATTATGACATAATTTTTATTTTTGGGTGAACGATCCCTTTAATACTTCCATGCTTAGTATCATTATTTATGTTCTACTGTAGTTCAAAAATCCCACAAGGTAGAAACATTCAGCCTGTCAACACAACAACAGTCATCAGTCAATCTTACTATCAGATCAAAGCTGTTGTTCATGTTACACCCTGAGGCCGAGGGTGGCGAATGTATAACTAATAACTTTTTCCCATCGCTTTGGAAGGCAGTTTTTTTCTATAGTCTATATCACAGCCTGTATCAGACATGCACACTGGATCTTGGGAAAGTGACAAGCCACATAAACAGGACACAGGAAGGGCATCCAGATGCCTCCTACAAGCAATGGCTAAATGACATAGCGATTAAGTCTGCAGACAAGCACATGCAAGTACTTGCACAAATAAAGGCATTTACTTCTTTACTTCTTCTATGGATCTCATTTCAATCCATTATCTAAGTGACAATGCGTTCGTTTTCCTTATGGGTCCTATAAACACACATACTCCCTCCACAGCCCTTTGGGAGAACTGAGAAAAGCTGTGAAGGTGAATGAGATTGAACACAATAAGAGGCCACATCAAAGGTCTGTACAAATGACAGAGAACGTGGACTGAACCTAATGTGAGCACGGTTTAAGTATTAATGCAGGTTTTTTTTTGTGTGTATGTGTGTGTGCTTGTGTATGTATTTTGTGTGTGTGTGTGTGTGTGTGATTGTATCTGCCATTTAGGATCACAAATCTCATATTAACATTTTCATCATTTTAATGAACAAATCTTTTAGTGAATTTAGTGAACAAATCACTAAAAAGTTGTGATAAAAGTGGCAAAAGCAACAGATCTCTTTTCCCATATTGTGAAGTACATTCAAAATTATCGAAAAAGAAAACATGTAATATAGGGACTTTACCTTATTGTAAAGTTTTTCCGATTTATGTCTCTTGAGTTAAGTGTTGGACAGATCAGTTGTTTTAACCGGTTATTAACTCTTTCCCCGCCAAACACGGAATTTTCCGTGTTTAATGAAAAAACGCATCTGCGCCAAACACGGAATTTTCCGGGTATCCGTGTTTTAGGTGGTATACGGTAAGGAAGACCCGCGCGCATGTCCTGAATGATTGCGCAACTCTATGATCAGAGAAACAGATTGCAATCGTCTCAAACAGTGGAGTAGTGAGAATGTATCAGACAGACAATGCAGAGGTATATGGCTGAAGTACTGGAGGTTAATGGACTCGGAGTCCGATCACTCTTTATTTGATAATTCTGAATCTGATCGGGACGAAGTAGTCAGTGAGAGAGATGCACGTTGTCACAAAAAGTTCTAGCCATGGACGTGCCGCAGATAGATCGTATAATATTATGACACTATAATATGTATGTGTGTGTGCAGGCATTTATGTGTGGCTGTCTAAATATGAAGGTGTAATTGTCAAATTATTTCTCTCTTTGTGCACATTTACCACATTGTAATATGTATTTGTGTGTATGTGTGTGTGTGTGTGTCTAGGCCTGTTTATTGTAATTCCAATTATTCATTATTCACAGGTAGAACACAGAGAGGCAGAGGCAGAAGTTTTATTGCAAAAGTTACATTTCCCTTACATCCTGGGAAATTTGATATATTTTACATTTATTTTATGTTTTTAATTTATTTTGGAAAGTTTTATATATGAAGGAAACAACATCTGAATGTATTCTGCTTTTAAATGCACTTGTTTGATAAAAATACCTTTTTCTCAGTTTTTTGTCCAAAATGTTGTGTTTTTGACAAAACCTACCTCTGTTCAAGAGGCAATAAAAAAAGAACAGATGAAGATAAAATAAAAACGTTTTTTTTGCCTAAAAGCAGAGGCTCAGATCTTTATTTTTATATATATCATCTTCATATATTCATGGAAGAAAATATTCAGCGGGGCATTCAAATTTAGCGAAAATCGTCAAAAACCCTGGCGGTGGCTGGCAACTTTTTTTAAAAACGCTGGCGGGGAAAGAGTTAAAGTTTGCATTGCACACAACAATGGCGGCAGATGATTGCAAGCTTGAGGGGTGGGGTTTAAAGGAGCATTTCACCCATTTCAACATTAATCTTTATTGAAAGTGGATCATATATGTAGCCGAAATGTAAAAGAATTTTTGAATTTGGTGCCCTCTTGACCGAGAAAAGACTAGAAATAACTGAAGGGCGCATTTGTATGTAAGACAACAACTCCCACAATGCACCACATTGCACAGCTCCGCAAGCCACACCCACTAATCTGGAACAGCGCAAACAGAGAAATCACGTCTACAAGGCTAACGTTAGCTGCCACCAGAGTGTGAAAAATTTCACACAAAATTTCTAGTTAGTTGGCTGTGGCGAGCAGTACGATCAAGGGTGAGGGACACAAAAGGACGGCGCGAGGCCGGTGGCGTGAGTGATAATGAAAGAAACGTGTAGACGTGTGCCGGTCTCGCGTCTCTCACGGAGGAGCGAAAGCATAAAATGAGCACCGACGACAGCAGATCGAGAGAGAAACAGGCCTGATTTTATGTTGTGTTTTGTTTCTGCTGTGTGTAACGTTTCAGCAGTCATCAATGAGGGGCTGCTGGCTTATACTTTCGTTTTGTTTATGTTGTTTATGCTTATTTAACTTTGTAGTGTAAAATAAAAAGTACCGTCAGATGAAATCCTGCAGGTGTAAGTGCTTTCACTCCGTTCATTCTCCGTCTCTCCGTCCACTTAAATGAGCGCGGATTTCTTGTGCATTTACTTGAACTTCTGAGGTAATATCTTTAATTGCTTGTTTAAAAGCTGGTTTAACCCATCTGAGAAATTGAGAGGCGCCCAAAATCAGATGGTAAAATGGACTGAATAAAGCGATTTACGAACTTGACGTGCGATGCCATGCTGACTGACATGTATATGTATGAATCACTGTCACACCTACAAGCTCAGAGCTATATTGTAAGTTACTGTCTGTCTCCATATAATACATTTTTAACTAGCAGAATAATAATGCATCACGATGCACATAGTTGACTGCTTGTATGTTGTGAGAAATGTGTGTGATCTGTGTTATGTACTAGCTAATTGGGATTAATAAAGTTGATAAAAAAGTAAATAGTCTCACTTTTAGTTACTTTTTTTAACTATTATAATATTTCGATGGGCAAAAACATGAACTTTAACTATTGGCTTTACTTCATAAAAACAGCTGTCACTTTATCCCGAGGCTAGTAGCATATAGCATTAGCACATCAGCTCCACCCACGACCCACCTCTTTGCCCATTTTATTTTATCCGGTAGTGACGAGAGGTGACGCGCTGCCAAGATGGCGACGACCGGCCCTGCCCACTTTAGGCTTCAAAAACGCTCTTCAGAAACCTACGGGTGACGTCACGGACACTACGTCCATATTTTTTTTTACAGTCTATGATTTTAGTCTGGGACTAAGGCCCCGTCCACAATACTGTGTTTTCGTTTAAAAACAGAGACCTTTTTGCTACATTTGCACCTGACTAAAACGGAAAAAACGAAGACCTAAAACGGAGAAGTTTAGAAACGCTGCAGCTCCGTTTTGCGTTCTGAATCTCCGGAGGGCATTTTAGTGAAGACGGAACAAAACGGAGGAGTTTAGAAACGATGACGCAGGGTCTGACGCACGGCTCTATGATTGGGTGTCATCAGTCATGACGTATCCTTCCCTGATTCGTCAGCCACTGTTTACACCAGCACGTGCATGCCCGGTTTTGGTGAATGGTCACGTGATCCGCGTTTTAAGTCGTTTTAATGTGGACGGAGATCAATTCTAATACGCAGATAAAACGCTTGTGTGGACGGAGATCGTAGTCAACGGTAACTGCTAGCCTGCTATTAAAAACAGTTTTACCCACTCCACAGTACACCAAAAGCAAATAAATTATAACACCAGACTATCGATGTAAATATCTGTTGAGAGAATAATGTTAGACTTAGAAATCAAACTACCCTTTCATTGCATTGCAATAGACAGTTATACTTTGTTCCCTGTATTTATTAGCACAGTCTAGAGCAGCAGCGAAGTGATATGTAGTTACCTAGGCAACCGACATAGACTATACACTAGACGTCACCTTGGGGTTCTAAGCATGCGTCAAAACCGCTGCCATCTTGGAACAGGGGTCTTGTCATAGGAAGTAGGTAGGTAACGCTGCTAACTCTGCCTTTACTTCGAATTAACTGATGGTGGCGGACTTTTGTGCTGTGTAAGATGTTCACACGAATGAAATCTGAACTAGGAAGAATGTTTAAAAAAAAACCTTTTTATTTTTTTCTTGAATCAATGGTAAATACATGTCTGATCGTTGGAACGAACCAAAAAACTGTCATAGCCAGATGACATCTATATATAATATGGGCAACCGAGAGAGGTTGTGGGAGTGCAGGTAGTTCCGACTGTAAAAATTTTGAAAACTGTCTCCACTGAAAAATAACACCCCGGCTAACTTGGAAATGAGGCCCGATGTCCAAAAATCTTAACCACCCCTTTAAGCATGGTCTGTAAAACAGGCCATTTAATTAAAATGTTAAGGTTAGTTAAAATAAAAAAAAAATGAAATATATAAAAACATGCACTTGGAAGAGGATTCAAAATAACTGTTTGATCACAAATTGAACATCACTAGTTTCTTCCAACGTGAATGCAGCTGTGAGCTGACAGAAAATAAAGCGAGTTATGAATGAACAACTTAAGTTTTAGACATCAACAAAACCGAGAGAGTGTCACGTAATCTGAACAGGCCGTATCGGTCTTAGTTTAGTGTGCAGTCTCATTGTTACTAGAGTTTTGATTGAAGTCTGAGTCATTTTTATGCAGCAGCGCAAAACCAAAGTGACGGCGCGGCATTCCTCCGAGAGGCCCCGCGGGCATTGAGCGTGCGCTCCGCCGTACAGTCTACCAACGACAATTAGCACGTTACCCTCGCTCAGATGCACGCTCGACTCAACTCACATTCACCCCGCTGCGGAATTCACCTGCACTATTGCACGTGCTCACATTTATGTTGCTTTAAAGCTTAGCTCACCCAGAAATGAAAATAATGTCGTCCTACTCACTCTCATGTTGGTCCAATTCTATGTGATTATATTTCTTGTGCGGGCCAAAAAAATGAGAATGACGGCCTCATTCGCCAGTCCCTTTCCTTCAACAGAATAAAGAGTTTGTCATTCAGTTCCTAACCGACTAACTCATTGCGTGTTCCGCGTAAGAAAGAAAATCATAAAGTTTGGGTATGTAAATTAAACTTTCGGTAGCACTTTATTGTAGGCTACAGTCACGTCCCACATGGTCATACTATAGGCTACTTATTACAATAACTAGGTAACGTTAGGTACTAACCTTGAACCTACACCTAAACCTAACATTAATCCCTGCTGTAGTTAGGCTATCTTATATTACCCATGCCTATTTAAGTAGCCTACATAAAATAAAGTTGAAACGAACTTTCATTTTCGATTAAATTGAAATAAATTTCCTTAGGCCAAAGTGAGGAATTGAGGTATAAAAACTGTGTCCATTATAAATTATGTTGCAAAAGTGCGATTTTGTCACAACAGTAAAAACTTTAACCCGCGTGACGCTGTAAACGTCTTGACGTCAACGAAAGAAACCGGTTTCTAAAATGGCTTACAGAATAAGTTTATCTACTTATTCGCAATCGCAAAGCTTGTTTCTTTCTGGGGGGAAACGGTGACACATTAAGAATATGGGCTTCAATTTCTTTTGCCATCTAGTATTTTAATCTGTGAGAAAAGCCCACTTTCTGTGCACTGCATCTTCACTAAACATCTGGATTTCTTGACAACGTGGAAATCTTTGAATAAGAAATTCCCTTATAAGTCTAACAAATAGAAATTAGTTATGAAATGTGCACAAAACACCAAATACCTCAAACCAGCAATGTAGGAAAATGACGAATAGGTTAAATAATCAGAATCTTCCCTACGCCACTAACGTTACATAATCTCCAATGAGACAAGTTTCCAGCACGCCTCAGCCATGCACGCTCGACAACCACACAATATTTCAAGGTGTAGCAGAACAAAATGTAACATTCTAGTTACAAATAGATATGTTTGGTTAAAGTAAATAAAATAAAACTAAGTTTGAGCAAGTCTATATCATCAGACATGTACGGTCATGACTCATGCTGCACTTGAAGAGAACGCGCACTAACTCTCCATGCAGAAGAGGCATGAAACTTACCTGTCTCTGGAGAAGAGGTGTTATAGAAAAACGCTTGATAGTAGAGGTTGAATGCGCAGTTATAGTAGTCCACTGCCAAGATACCAAGGTATGTCACACTAATATTTGCTGGTACACTCGCCTATAAACCCTTTGAGTGAATATGTAAATGGTGTCTCGTTCGCAAGGTCCGCTCGGTCTTTTGCCTCTACACTCAGGCGTGACTTTTCCCGGGTCTCGAATCACACTCCCACTGAATAAAAGCTACTTTTACCTCCTACTGTTTAACCCTTTCTCGGGATTGGATGAGATAAGTTTGCCATGCACGTGTGCTGTAAGATTCTATCCTGTGTGAATAAAATATGCATGTTGTTGTTGTTTTTTCCTAACAGAACTAATTATTTTAATTGGATTGCTTGAAACATATTTTTTAGGCCTGGCTGTAGCCTATTTATAATGTTGGAACTTATTAAATATCTACTTTGTATGTTGACCATAGTATAGGCTTATATTATAGTAGGCATATGTGTTGTTATAGCTTACAGATATTTTAGAGCAATGAACAAACAATGAATGTGCCCAATTTCTAAAAAAAAATATTTAAAAATTGGACCCTGTTAAAACTCAGGTCAAGTGACTTGGGATACAACCATGGTCCCGCAAAAGCTGTCCTGTTCAAAGAAGCTAACTAACATAGCAATGCATTAGATTTTGCCAGAGTAGCTAATATTTATAACCTAATTTTTTACATAGGAGATACAAACTATGCAATTGAAAATATAAGCACTATTTAGAATAAAAACACGAAATGTTATTATGTGAGACCCGATTTTTTGGAAAATAGCGATATTAATTTATTTAATAGCACATTGTATTTTATGCTGCCCGTTTAAGGGTTAATATCATGGCTCATATTTTATATATATCCAAATGAGACGAAATATAAATATCAGTTACTTAAAAGAAAATAATAATTACGTATTTTGTCCGCTATAATCGTTTAATTAACCCACACAAAAACTTCATCATTATCACTGCACTACACACATTTATGACCACACGTGCTCAGGGCGCGCTAGTCTGAGAATGGCGAAAGTGCTGCGTTAAATCGTTGGCCTGAATTAGCAGCGGAAGTTTGGAAGCAGATGTGACAGTTGAGTGTATGAACAGCGGAGCTGCAAGGAAAACAATGTTGCAGTTGCATTTCACGAATGATACTTTACCCGACAATGTCAGCACTGACTTTCAGAATCTGACTAAATTCAGCGAACAGGTAGGAGTTCAGTATGCTGGGAACGGAAAGTATTAACTATTATTCCAAATAATCATGAATTTAATAATGTATTGGTGATCAACAGATTTTGTGAATAATTAAACTGGATGTAAATAAACGGGTCTATCGATCATCGCGTTTTCAGAAATAAGTCACATAATGTCTCGCTCAATACATGTATGCATTATATACCATAACACTTAGCATTAGCATGAATAACCGGAGCTCCTTTAGTGATGTAATGCATTTTACGCGTAACTTACTAAACTTCAAGGCAACTATTTAAAATTATGTAACGTAAGACTAACGTTACCGTATATTTTTGTATTCTATTTCGACACGGTCACAGTTGTCATTGGTTTGTTGTGAATGTTTGAGGAAACAGCTTGTCTTCTTCTTATAAGTAGCACAGACACAATTATGCCTTTCTTTCTAATATGTATTTGACCACTGCTAATGAGTCGTATGCAACAATGAACAGGTAACATTACACTGCCAATACAGTTTTATTGAGTTTTATTTAAAGTTTTATTAAGTTTAAACTCACTTATGATGTTAAAATATATAGATAGCCTATATCATATTTGATATATAGGGGGTAAATAAATACATTATTGCAATTTATTTATTTATTTTTTTTTTTGCTGAAATTTTGCTAATATATTTATGTTTTAAATGGGTGTGTTGAACAAGATGAACAGTAATGGAAAAGCAGCAAACACAAGCCTGGAGTTCAATTCATGCTTAAAGTGAATTAAAGTCAAGTTGTGTCCAAACATTTGATTGGTAGTGTGTATTTGCATGTTTCTGCACTCTATACTGTACTTACTGTGTTTACTGATATACTTTAATTTCAGTTTTTCACCTAGATAGTAGATAATACACCAATGTAACCAAGGCCAATAAATTTACTTCCCTGCAGCAGTTCGTGAGTCTGACAGAGATCTTATACCAGTTCCTTCTAGAACCCAAAGAGGTGAGACGACACTTCCAGATTACATTTCTCTGTTAAATCATTGCCAGGAAATGCAAGAAATGATAAAATGTCTACCTTGAATGCAGCTGATTTGGGTAAAAGTAATTGCCAAATACATGGAAATAACAAAACATATATATATAAATGGTTAACAGTAAAGAAAGATTGATTATGTGAAAAATTATGATAACCTGTCAGTGTAAAATGATTCTATTTGTAGTTAAAGGGACAGACAGTTCATACAAAAAATGAACGTTCTGTCTTCATTTTCTGACTCTCAAGTTCCAAACCTGAATGAATTTCTTTCATCTGTCAATGAGGGCTATCAATTGTTTGGTTTCCGACATTCTTAAAAATATCTATTTTTGTGTTTGTGTGGTTTTGAACAACATGAGGGTCAGTAAATAATGACAGAACGTTCATTTTGGGAGAACTATCCCTTTAAGTGGATTTATAATCACACCCAAGTAAAAGTAAAGATGTTTCTTTTTCGTCTTCAGTCCGAGAGGTTCTTGCATCGGCTAACAGAGTTTGCTGGTGAGAATGGCATGAGTGCAGGGCCACTGAGGGCTCTGATGAAGAGTGTCCTCCTCCTACCTCACGGTAAAACATTCAGGACCCTCAGCTTGAACAGATCGAGCACCTTAATCTGAATTTCCACTGTTGAATAATGCACTCCCCTTCTGCTGGTGATAACATCTAATGTAGACGCTTAGCCTGACCCCAGCACTAATTTAAACAGTGAATGCTATGATCCTAATCACAGTGAGTGATTGCTCACTGTATTTTACACCAAATTGCTGCATTATGCGTCTAGAGGACCCTAACATATGCAAATTGCCCTTGTTACAAATTGCCCTGGGGAATCTGGACCTAATGTCACATGCAGACTGCCCGACCCTACCAATCAGTATGCAATGGTGTGCTGCTACTGAACATTTGTATCCATTGACTATACTGCTGCCTGTGCTTTTAGACATTAGAATGAAGACAAAAGTGTCAAATTATTAATCATACTGATGGAGGGAAATTGTGTGAAATTGTGTAGAAGTGGTAGTGTAGAAAAATAGGTATCAGAAAGACTCACACAAATGTATAGGCTTTAAAATCCCTATAGTGAGCTGTCTACGTAGGCAGCATTTTAAGGCATACATATAAGTAATTTGACTGATGCATAGATTCACATTGGTATGCTATCAAGGTCCGTATCAGTTAGAATGCTGCCTATTTAGTTCACTAGACTTTGGAACAGAGATTTAATGTGGGTATAGAAACAATGTTAATGTCTTCCTCCCTTCTCAGGTGCTTTGAAAAGAAACCTAACTGCTGAACAGGTGAAGGTGGACTTGCTCTCATTAGGTGAGAATCGATCTTTCCTCGTTGCCATATCTGTACATGTTCGATTATATTTCCCATTAGTCAATATTTAACAGTGTGATCTATTGCTTAATCACAGGACTAAATGAAGAAAAGGCCAGTCATTTCTCTGACCAGGTATGACTTAACATTAAGCCATCATTGATGAGTTATGTTGGTGCTTCTGTTGTTTCCTGCGGTTGTGGATGGGTATGACTAAGATTCAGTATGTCTACATCTTCCATTTATTTCAGTGGAGAGTCCACTACCCTGTTTTGTCCAGGCTGGCTGTGGGACAGACACTAATGGTCAACCAGCTTGTTGACATGGAGTGGAAATTTGGTGGTAAGCAATCAATAAACATTTGTAATTAAATCTATATAATTTCCAATGCAAATAAGTAAATAAATAATATGTGAATACTTTAAACCCATAATCTTTTGCAGTTACTGTTGGTACAAGTGAGCTGCAAAAGACTGGAAATATTTTTCTACAGGTAAACCTCTTTAATTTTTTTCAAAGTCAGAGCAAATATTCACTGATAGATTGATTTTAAGGTGCATTTAACCTTTACTTGATGGTTAAAACAGATTAAAGGCTGGAATATGCAACCCAATTTTGCCCAGATTTTCTACTGTCTGGAGGAATTGATGCTAGTTGTTGAAAGTCAGTGTCAGTCATTCTTCAGATTTTGGGGAGTTGAAGTTGACCGATTTCCCAAAAAATTTCATTATTTATGTGTAATACTTTTCACTTTTTTTAGGAGTCGTTGGGGAAGCAAGATATCTTGATTTTACAACTCATACAATAATAAACAGTAAAGCACAGGTGCTCGCTTTCGGGTTAAAGCAGCACTATGCAGTTTTTTTACCTTAACTGAATAGCTTCGGAGTTATTGCAATGGTTAGATGACTATTTTCGGGTTGAATATTGGGCGTCTAATAACGTCAGCATTACGTGACCACATGTAATGTCCTTCCGATATGTATCCTTGTTTTCGCATGGGTCCGGTTGCAGTCTCTCTTTTTTGTAGCCACACTGAAGTCAGAACGAAGTCTTTTGCATTTTACAGTGGGTGAATCTGTTTTACACTGGTGATTGTCATTTGAACCTTTCTGGATCCACCATCAAAATTATATCAAGTGCTGTGAGAAAAGGCTATAAATCTCCACCTCCAACATCCTCACACTCATAGCCTACTAGCCGAGACTCCTTATGTGTACACTTGTGACGTAATGACTCAGTATAGCCTACTAGCCGAGACTCCTTTATGTGTACACTTGTGACGTAATGACTCAGTATAGCCTTCTAGCCGAGACTCCTTTATGTGTACACTTGTGACGTAATGACTCAGTATAGCCTACTAGCCGAGACTCCTTTATGTGTACAGATGTGACGTAATGACTCAGTATAGCTTACTAGCCGAGACTCCTTTATGTGTACACTTGTGACGTAATGACTCAGTATAGCCTACTAGCCGAGACTCCTTTATGTGTACAGATGTGACGTAATGACTCAATATAGCCTACTAGCCGAGACTCCTTTATGTGTACAGATGTGACGTAATGACTCAATATAGCCTACTAGCCGAGACTCCTTTATGTGTACAGATGTGACGTAATGACTCAATATAGCCTACTAGCCGAGGCTCCTTTATGTGTACAGATGTGACGTAATGACTCAATATAGCCTACTAGCCGAGACTCCTTTATGTGTACAGATGTGACGTAATGACTCAATATAGCCTACTAGCCGAGGCTCCTTTATGTGTACAGATGTGACGTAATGACTCAATATAGCCTACTAGCCAAGACTCCTTTATTTGTACAGATGTGACGTAATGACACAAAGACATGCTTGAATCTCAACTGTAAATCCACCTGTACCAATGGAGTTAAAAACATTATTACAAGCTTACCAATTTGAATCAAGCTACTGCAGATAGTTTTGAACACTGGCTGGTTATGTATTTTCAGGGACTGTAGTGTTAACACAGGGAGACAGGTTAATGACAGCACAGCAGTATTGTAGCAGTACTACAAGTCCAAATTGACCCTTCGCTAAGCCCCGCCCTCCCTAGAACTGTTGCTACGCCTGTCAAGCTTTCGCGGCTGGCCCATCTATTATAGTGTGGATGCACCAGGTATCAGACATTTCAATGAGATAATTAGTAATTTTCGGCGAACAAGTGAAATATCTGAGAGAGCAAGACAAAAGGGACTACAGTATGCATTCGAGGGATATATTCACAACATTATATGCAAACGATTAAAGAATAATTTCTTAAAAATTGAAGTTAAAGCCTAACGTTATAGTCCCAGTGCAAGCAGCAGCACCTCATACGCTGACCGTTCAAATGGGAAACACAAATTGAGTAACAGCTGTGTTCATACACAGCAGGGTATGTGAAAATAATCTTAATAAATATAAATCAAACAGCTTATCAATAAATCTTGTGGAATAACACTAATACCGTTAGTAGGACGTCGATTAACAAAATGCTGAAATATACTTTAAAGTATGTCAGTGAGCCTTTATCTTGTCTCTTTAATCGTCTTATTTTACGTTATCGTTATGACCAAAGAACCGTCAATATTTCCAAGCAATAGGTGTTTTTGTTAAGCATGTCGACATTTACCAGTAGATGCTACAGTAGATCACGCCAATAATTTCTCCCCTTGGCTTTTAGATTTTCTGGAAGGAAAACAATTCCTCTCCCCCGTCCAAACTTTTAGTATACCGGTATCAGATTTGCACAATCCATACGCACAATGCGTCAGCATGTTTTCCTCGTTCGAAAGCTTGCCAGACCTCCCGCGCATAGTTACGTTTGCTACGACATGATTGGCCAGTGGCGGTTTTCGGGCGTGGCTTAGCGAAGGGTCAATTGTAGCAGTAAAAAGTAAAGTAAAAGTAAAAAGCAGTCCAAAATGTCACTTCTATCGTTTAAGGTCTGCTTTAAAATCGTTACGTTTTACTTTTAAAACATTTACATACAAATTACCCTCTAAATGTATAAAATCTGAACTGCAATGTAGCATGATTTCTTTTAACATCGCCGTGTCTATTTTTAACTGAAACACAGGTCTTGACTGTAAATAGCTTATTACTTACTGTATGACACAGGCTCAGATAGCAGCTTTTATTTGACTTTGAATGAGTCAGAGACTCTGAGGAATTCAGGACTGGTACACTGCATTTCCATAAATTTGTAACATCAGACTTTATCTACTATTTTTCGACTCTAGCCCAGCTTAGGAAATTACATGCATTTTTAAATCAATATCCCTATATATATATATATATATATATATATATATATATATATATATTTGCAGCTCACATTTTTTGGAGTCATTGTCTGTAATTTTTCATCAACCTACCTGTATTTATCCAATCACTTATAAAAAAAAATAATCTCTTGCTTTAAAAGGATTTCCCTTCATGAACTGAGAAATCAAAATTCCCTTGATCTTTTGATATACTACTATAAAACGTGATTGTACTATGAAAACATCCTTTAAGTTCCTGAAAGATCCTGAAAACAGCTTATATTGAAGCCAATCTGCCAGAACTAATGTGCCACTTATGTAATAAGGTAACTAAACACCGCCTCCGCAGAAGATCCACGCCTGCTTCTACATCACTGCCTGTCTAGCCCCGTCCACTGATTTGTGCATGTAATAGATAAATAACAAGAGATGCAAACGCAGGTCAATGCTGAAACAAGACAACTTGCCTATAGTTTGATCATTATGAGCTTGCAAACAGCTCCAACTTACTGCACACCATTGAAGCAGTGCGTCCCAATCAGGAATGTAAACTGAGCCACTGATTAGCAGTCCTCTGTATTCTTTTGACAGTGCAATAGCCGAATCACAATAGCCGAATCATTTTCATTGGCAGCACATTCATTTTCATAAGCTGCACAGAAAGACTCCATAAAGTTTCCGTTCAACTTGAGTCACACTTGTCCAAGGAAATAATACCCAACCCATAATGAATCACCGTAAGCAAAACAAGGCTACAAATGTGAAATTCTTTCTTTGTTTGTACTAGCCAGTCAAGTTTGTTTTTCATTTGTAATCTTCAGTGGTTGTATTTGCAGAAGCAGCCTAATGTAAGATCTGAATATGTATATAAAATATGTATTTAGTCTGCGTTATTCAGTGAGTTTTCAATCCGCTGCAGCACAAAGCCATCGTCAGAAGCAGAGGACGACGTGTGTTTGCATTTATTGATAGATTGTTATGATATCTGCATCTGTGTAGTTCTTTGTCATAAATGCAGTTTAGATAATATAATGCAGGAAATCAGGGTATCTTCCGTCCATTTCATTTCCAATTTGAAATGAAATAAGCAAAAACGAGAAAATGCGCCTTTATTTGTTTTGTTTTTTTTTGTTTTTTTTTTTATAAAATTGAAAAAATGAGATTTCGGGTTGATTTTTGGTTAAGGCTTTAAAAACGGATAAATTACTTCAAAATCCGTTTTGCACGTGGGCGGTCATGTGATGCCCATTTCAGCCGATTGGTCAAGCAAATCTGAGCCTGTGATGTCATCAGTAGTTCCCCAGGTCTTTTCAACAAAATAATAGTCCTATATGGCTCTGCGTACTGCTTCTTAAACTGTACAGGGCTGTGCAACTTAACGCGTTTCACAGAAATATGTCAGAAATATTAAATATTAATCTGCACCCAGCTGGTTTTAATAAACTGTGTAGAGTTAAATCTCTGTAGTGCTGGACTAGATTTTAGATTTGTGTACATTGTTTCTGTTAATAATGTATTGTGTTAAGTGTTCATTTCATTATAATATTCAGGTTTATCGTTAATAATTGAACATACACATGTATTTAGGACCCGTCCTGCCAAGAAGGTATCCTTGACATTGAGAAACACGTTTTGAGTATACATAAATCTCTGACCATTGTAGTCTTCATCTTCTAATTTTCTGTCGCTTTACATATCTGGTATCATTGAACCGATTGGCTATGAGCTACGTACAGGCGCATTTGATAGACATTTGTAGTAGCCAATAATACGACTCTGTGCATTCGAAATCGTTGAATTGAAGTCCTAAAAATGCCCCTGATTCATTAAACTTTTTTTCTTCTCACAGCTGAAACTGGTGATCAGAAAAGGAAACACAACAGAAAATGTGTACATGGGTGAGTTTACTTCAAATTCATGAATCTGAGTTGTTTTACTGTATTTGATTCAGCATTTTCAGGATACATTTGATGTCATATTTGATAATTATGTTTGTGTCTCTCCACATTAGAGCTGACTTTACCCCAGTTTTATAACTTCCTTCATGAGATGGAGCGTGCCAAAGCTAGTATGGACTGCTTCAGTTAACCGGGTCGGAGGTCATTTCACCGTTTTTTTTTTGTTGACCAGTAAAGGGTTGTAATGATGTTCCCATACTCTCAAACTGTTTCAAGAAGAATCTTTAATAATTCACTGATCTTGTTCAGTATGTTTGTTTGTGTCCAGTGTGTTTTTGTGTGAGACAAAGATCACATTCCACATTGATTCTCTTTATTGATGATCTTCTGTTTATTAAACCTTTAATGAATTTCTTCTTCAATTTAGTGTTGGATTTCACATTTTGTTACCTGAAATCGAACCATCTGCTTACTGTAGCCTATTAATAAAATAATTAATACAGTACAATACACTAATATTCATTTATTTTGGAATGAATACAGCACATTCTCAATTTTCTTTTGTGTTGTCTTTGGTATTAAAATATTTGGGTAAAAATTGTAATATATATTTTTACTTCTACTACTACTAGGTGCTGCAGAAATGTACACACAGAGAAGTGGTTGCTTATATCAAAGAATGTCATGTTTTACACAGAGTCAGAATGATGTAATAAATGAATTCTGTGTTAAATATGAGCGTTCTGTTTTGTGGTATTTGTGTCGTGGGGCAATTTAAAATCAAGACCGGTAATATCAGAGAACACGCCCAGAGGCTGTGTATCGTTAGACTGATGCATGCCATTGTTTCCCTCACTTTGAGCAGTGATATTTGAATTTTTTTTCATTCTGGTTCATTTTCTTTCATTTTCATTCTGATAATTTCTTCAATTATTGATTGAAACTCTTCTATCTGCATGTCAGTGTGTGTAGGCCATCTATGAGCCATTTATATATAAACAGACATATGAACAACATTAAAAGCTTTAACAACTGTTGTCTGAAAGGTTCTTTGGTGAACCAAAAATAGTTCCTCTATTGCTTTGCTGCAAACCCTCCTTGTGGAACTTTTATTTCCCTCAGCCAACTGCAAATACTAAATGTACAACAACACGTACTGTAGCAGAACTCACAATGGTCAAATCCCAGCTAACGTTCTGTTATAGTGGGTGAAAAATTAAGCGCTTGGTGAATTCTTCATCACACTGATTTAGGAAGAGTCGACATCAATGAATTTAAAAGCAACATAACTAATGGTTTGGTCGCCATTAGCCAGTTATCTATGTGGTATGTTTTCTGACACCAAGCCAGAAGCAATTTGAGGCCTTGCTTTCAAAGTCCATTTTGGTCATCCTATATAAGATGTTCGTGTCAAAAAAAAAAGAACCCAGCCCTAAGCAAACACATGTTCTAGCTTTTGCTATCATATAAATGCTCTTTATGATCAATTTATGAGTTGACTTATGTATGTGAGAGGAAGCTCAAACCATTTTCTAGAAGGGACTGTCATATAAGTTGTATCTGCTTCCTTGCTATGGTGGTCCTGTTAAAATATATAAAAAAAGAAAAAAACACTCAACGTGATTATCCAAGAAAACAACCTAATCGTAACTGTAGCATACAGCCAAGGTCGGAGCATCATGCTTTGCGTTCACTATCTAACCGTCTCAGTCCTCATTTTAAGCCCTGCATGCAAAAACATCTAGTGAAGTCTAAACATCTTAAAGGTGGTTTGTGAAATAAAATAGGGCATAACACTCATCATCACTGCTAAATACTTTTCTTTGCAGCATAAAACATGTATTGTGTATGTGCTGTGTTAAAAGTTTACAGAATAAATCATATTTATGGTCATATTAGTCAAATGAGACTAATGATTTAAATTTGAGGTGACTGTCAATGAGACCATATATAATATAATTTGAACATCTGTGGATGTTTTTGCCTTATTTGAAACCAGTGTGAAACAACTTGTTTCAACAAGCACTTCTGAAGATGGGAGGAAGAAAGAAAACTTCACTTACCAAAGAAAATAAATAACTCAAACTCTATGGTTTGACACATCATGTATCAAGGCTCAAAAGCTTCTAGGTACATGGCATCTGGAAAGTAGAGCATGTAAACCCTTGTAGTTAAAACCTTCATCAAATATAACAATTGGCTTTGCTGCACTACTTCCTGAACTTCAGCCAGCTCCTTGTTTCCTGTCTGCCATTATTGGACAAACTTGATTAATTCAGGTGTGTCTGATTATTGTTGCTTGACTACTGAGGTCAGGCACATCTGAATTAATCAATTTGCCCTTTGGCTGAAGTTCAGGAAGTGCAGCTGTACATAAAGCCCATTGCTTGTACAAATGGGATGTGGTCAATACATCAATATATTGTCAAAGTAAAATTTATAATTCATCACTCACCTCAGTGTGGCCTTATAATGTAGCCTGAGGCGCAGATAAAAAAAAAAAATCAAATGATGTTGTGGCAGTGTTTATTTTACATGCACAATTATGACTTTCAATGAGATAAATATGTTCTGAAAGAAAAAGAAAAATCGGTTCAATTCAGTTCTGAAGTTGTGTCCCTTAAAATCAAATTAGACCTCATTACATTTGCAAAGGGGTGTTCACATCCATAAAAATGGTATTCATCACAACCTAAGAGGAAAATCCTTCATTTGAAAACTGCCATCTGTCCACTCTACAAATATATTACAAAATGTATCTGATATTGAATTAATAATACTAATAAATCACATTGATTAAATTCAATTTATAAAATTATTGTTTCTGTTTATCTGAATGTATCTAAAACTATGGCTAAAAACGTCTTTTGAATCAGCATTGACATTGTTTGTTCCATGTTTTATTTTGGTTATTGTACTCGGTGTAGGCCTACTCATTATCTTTACAAGCAGATTTTAAATATTATGACTCTGACTTAGGAAATAAAAAGGCTTTAGGCAGAAACAGTTTCCATGAATCCTTCAGTTGGCAATAAAAATGAGTGAAGACAGCAATAATACGTGTACGATGTTAAACAGATTGTCTGAATAAATTCCAAAAACTGAAACTCTTTGATTTTTTACATTTCTACTTCAGGTCTGTCATGCTTGTTCACACCTGCCATCCACTAAACACCTGGTGTGTGTGTGTGTGTGTGTGTGTGTGTGTGTGTGTGTGTGTGTGTGTGTGTGTGTGTGTGTGTGTGTGTGTGTGTGTGTGTGTGTGTGTGTGTGAGAGAGAGTGAGAGAGAGAGAAGAGAGAGAGAGAGAGAGAGAGAGAGAGAGAGAGAGAGAGGGAGAGAGAGAGAGAGGTATGTGTGTAACTGAGAGTACAGAAAGGGATAGGGGAAAGTTACTGTTATTCTAGACAGCTAAAAGAGGAAGTTAAATTCCCACGAGAATTAACTACACACCCTAAAGCAGTTCCCCAAACATCTGCCCTACACTCCAAAAATTGCTCGGTTGTTTTAACTTAACTTTTGGGTCAATTATGGGCAAACCCAGCCATTGGGTTAAATTTTTTAATTACATTTTTTAACCCAACGTTTGGGTATGTCCATATTTGACCCAAAGTTGGGTTAAAAAACAAGGTAATGAGATTAAAAATAATAATAATAATAAAATGTTGACCACAATGTATGTATAGGTGCACATTCTGATATAAAGAAAATATGCTGTGGACAGTTGTCTGTTGATTTATTTGGCTTGGTGGTCTTTAAGAAAATGTTTAAATATCCCAAGTGACTACCGTGGCTCAACTATATGTTTATCAAGCGACGCAAATACTTTTGTGCGAAAAAACAAACAAAAATAACGAGTTTATTCGACTATTTCTTTTCTTCCTTGTAGGCCAGAACGAGACTTCCTTAGATTTCCACGACGCATGCGCGAGAATTGCGATCTGCTCACACCAGCTTACACTACTTCAGATCGCAATTCTCGCGCATGCGTCGTGGAAATCTAAGGAAGTCTCGTTCTGGCCTACAAGGAAGAAAAGAAAAGTCGAATAAACTCGTTATTTTTGTTTGTTTTTTCGCACAAAAAGTATTCTCGTCGCTTGATAAACATATAGTTGAGCCACGGTAGTCACTTGGGATATTTAAACATTTTCTTCATTGACTTTCTGGCCCGTCAAGAGGCAGTCCCTTAGGAGCCAATGGGGTAGTTATACAGCTCTCAAATTTAATCAAAAATATCTTCATTTGTGTTCCGAAGACGAACGAAGGTCTTACGGGGTTGGTACAGAATGGGGGTGAGTAATTAATGACTTAATTTTCATTTTTGGGTGAACTAACCCTTTAACTGACTAGAGGCCCATAGAGAAGGAAGTAAATATTTGAAATAAAGTCGTTATTTTTGTTTGTTTTGGCGCACAAAAAGTATTCTCGTCGTTTGATAAACTTGAGATTGAGCCCCTGTAGTCACTTGGACTATTTTAACGATGTCTTTAATGACTTTTAGATGCCAGCAAGTGTCATTCCCTCAAGAAGCCTATGGACTAGTATGCAGGAGTGATCTTAATATCTTAAATATCTTAATTTGTGTTCCGAAGATGAACGAAGGTACGGGGTTGGAACAACATGAGGGTGAGTAAATGTTGAAATACTGACAGAATTTTCATTTTTGGGTGAACTAACCCTTTAATGAAATCGTTGTAAGGCTAGTATGTGAATCTCATCAAGTATGAAATAACAGATATTAAGTATTGCTTTAAAAGGCATTCCAGCTCACTGTGCATGAGAGCATTTTTTTTAATGCACGGGTGAATTGTTCATAAGATCTGTAAAAATATATAGAGTGCATGTTCATTTCATGCTGACTTTAAATGTATCATTTAACTAAAAAACATATTTCTTGTTTTATAATTTAAATTAATCTTAAATGGCCCTTTGAAATTTCAGTTTGTCTTTTTATGCTTTTACAAATAACAGACAAAACAAATGACAGACATCCAAGAGTGTGGGGGTTTTTGACAAATGTGGGATTTTTGAAAGAAGGATAATGATTTTTTTCATTGTGTTCTGCTTTGGGACATTTTTTCGTTCTACTAACGTCTGAGGTAAAGGAAATGGGCAGAGACCTTCGGGAATGTTAAAAACAATCATTTACAGTCCTATTTCCTATGGCGTATAGCAATGAAAAAATACAGCAAGCAACTCCATTTTTTATTAGCAGATTAGCAATACAAACATTGTTTCAACATTCACGACTTGCTCCAATTCATGTGTGGAATCCACACTTTTCATCATCCAATACATTTTTGATGCAGGAAAACAAATCCAGCCTTATATTTTTTCTGATTAAATATTCTGAAGTTTTCTTTCAAATATGTAGTGTTATTTTACACACTAAAGTGTGTGTGTGCGTGTGTGTGTGTGTGTGTACACAAAATGATGGGTTGTTTTAACCCAACTTTGGTCTAATATGGACAAACCCAAACATTGGGTTAAATATGTAATTAAAAAAAAAATTAACACAATGGCTGCAGAAATGTGGGTTGAAAAATGTCTGCAGATTTCACTAGGGCCATAAATATAGCAGAGAGAGAAACAGGGGCTCAGAAAGGAAGAACAGGGTTTAGCACTTCATCAGCCCCATACCATGCAGGATACTGATACTTATCACACACACACACACACACACACACACACTTCCCCACATGAACCTCTCAAAGGCACAGTTTCAAAGAGGAAACAA